GTTGGTTATGTGGGTGATGCAGAAACTACAGTTATTGCTGAGGAACCCTTTTAGACAGGACAGCTCATCAGATCATAGGATCAGCTTCTACACAGGGACTACCTTAGAATGGTGCCCTTCTGGTGTTTCAGTAACTGAATCTCAAAGCTTGAGAGCCACAGTGGATTTGCTACAGATTAAATTTCTCTTCACAAGAAAACAGTGTTAAATGTAGTTTTAGTGTAATGTCAGGGAACATTCTTTATATACCCTTTAAAGTTATTTTTTGTTTTGTTTTGAGACAGTCTTGCTCTTGCCCAGGCCGGAGTGCAGTGGCATGATCTCAGGTCACTGCAACCTCTGCCTCCTGGGTTCCAGTGATTCTTCTACCTTAGTTTCCTGAGTAGCCAGAATTACAGGCGTGAGCTACCATGCCCAGCTAATTTTAGTAGAGACGTGTGTGTAATTTTAGTAGAGACAGGATTTCACCATGTTTGCCAGGCTGGTCTTGCACTTCTAATCTCAAGTGATCCACCTGCCTCGGCCTCCCAAAGTGCTGGGATTATAGTCATGAGCCATCTCACGTAAAAGTTATTTTTTGAATAGCTAATATGTGCACATGGGCCGGGCACGGTGGCTCACGCCTGTAATCCCAGCACTTTGGGAGGCCGAGGCGGTTGGATCACGAGGTCAAGAGATCAAGACCATCCTGGTCAACATGGTGAAACCCCGTCTCTACTAAAAATACAAAAATATTAGCTGGGCATGGTGGCGCGTGCCTGTAGTCCCAGCTACTCAAGAGGCTGAGGCAGGAGAATTGCCTGAACCCAGGAGGCGGAGGTTGCGGTGAGCTGAGATCGCGCCATTGCACTCCAGCCTGGGTAACAAGAGCAAAACTCCGTCTCAAAAAAAAAAAAAAATATGTGCACATGGTACAGAATTCTTACTGTGCAAGTAAGACCCCGCTCCCCCTGCCCGACTCCATCCTGCATCACCTAGTGTCTCTCTCCACAAATAGTCATGGTCTCCAGTCTCTGGAGTAGCCTTCCAGAGGGTAGTATGTGTTGATAGGTGCGTATAGCTCTTTAGGTTTTCTTTTTTTTTTTGGACAGCATGCTATTCACACAGTTTTATATATGTGTTTTCTGTCTTGAGTACTATCAGTTCTTACAGAGCTGCTACTTCAACCTTCATACACATACTGTAATTTATGTAACTGTTTTCCTTTTGGTGGACATTTAGATTGTGATAGCAAAAACTTAGGAAAAACTATTGGCAATAAATATTTTTTATACATTTATTTAATTTTATTATTATTATTATTATTATTTTTTTTTTTTTTTTGAGACGGAGTTTCGCTCTTGCTACCCAGGCTGGAGTGCAATGGCGCGATCTCGGCTCACCGCAACCTCCGCCTCCTGGGTTCAGGCAATTCTCCTGCCTCAGCCTCCTGAGTAGCTGGGATTACAGGCACGCGCCACCATGCCCAGCTAATTTTTGTATTTTTAGTAGAGATGGGGTTTCACCATGTTGACCAGGATGGTCTCGATCTCTTGACCTCGTGATCCACCCGCCTCGGCCTCCCAAAGTGCTGGGATTACAGGCTTGAGCCACCGCGCCCGGCCAATTTTATTATTATTTTTGAGACAGAGTCTTGTTCTGTTGCTCAGGCTGGAATGCAGTGGCGCAATCTCAGCTCACTGCAGCCTCTGCCTCCTAGACTCAGGTGATCCTCCTGCCTCAGCCTCCCGAGTAACTGGGACTATAGGCATATGCCACCACACCCAGCTAATTTTGTGTTTCTTTTTTTTTTTTTTAATCAATGAGAGGTTCTTAATTTTGCCCGGGTTGGCCTTGAACGAATAGCCTCTCCTCCTCAGGCAGCAGGACAACTGGCCAGAGCCACCGTGGCCCCCATTGTGTTTCTTTTAAGTAGAGACGGGGTTTTGCCATGTTGGCCAGGCTGGTCTCGAACTCCTGATCTGCCCGCCTTAGCTTCCCAAAGTTTTTAGCCTTTACAGGCGTGAGCCACTGTGCCCAGCCAACAATAAAGCGTTATAGATACCTCATTGGGTACATCTGTACAATTAAGTTCCTGGACACAGAATTGCTGGGTCAGAGAGACATGGGCATTTAGAATTTTTCCAATGCCATTGACTTTCATAGAAGAGTGTAGTAATTTATTCACTCCCCCAGCGGTGTGCAAGAGTGCTGATTTGTGCCTGCTTTTGCCAATATAGTGTATCAGACTTTTTGATCTTTATCAATCTTACAGGAAGTGTTGTAATTTGTTACCAAGGAAGACTTCATGTGTTTAAAATCCCTTTTGCAGGGAGTGACTGCCTGAGGACATGGGGTTTCTTTTTAGGGTAATAAAAACATGGAATTAGATAGTGTTGATGTTGTTACAGCCTTATGAATCTGCTAAAAACCACTGATTTGTGCACTTTAAAAGGGTGAATTTTGTGGTAGATGGATTATATCTCAATAAAGCTACTATTTTATTTTATTTTATTTTATTTTATTTTATTTTATTTAAGGCAGAGTCTCGCTCTGTCACCCAGGCTGGAGTGCAGTGGCGCAATCTCGGCTCCCTGCAGCCTCTGCCTCCTGGGTTCAAGCAATTCTCTTGCCTCAGCCTCCTGAGTAGTTGGGATTACAGGCACCCACCAGAACATCTGGCTAATTTTTGTATTTTTAGTAGAGATGGAGTTTCACCATGTTGGTCAGGTTGGTCTCAAACTCCTGACCTCAGGGGATCCATCAGAAAGTCCTGGGATTACAGGTGTGAGCTACCACACCCAGCCTAAAGCTGCTATTTAAAATAGCCATTTGGCCAGGCATAGACTGGCTCATGCCAGAATCCCAATACTATGAGAGGTTGAGGTGGGAGGGTTGCTTGAGGCCAGGAGTTCAAGGCTAGCTTGGGCAACGTACTGAGACCCCATCTCTACAAAAAATGAAAAAAATTAGCCAGGTTTAGTGGTGTATGCCTGTGGTCCCAGCTACTCAGGAGGCTAAGGAAGGATCACTTGAGCCAAGGTGTTTGAGGCTTCAGTGAGCTAGGATCCCACCACTGTGCTCCATCCTGGGTGACAGAGCAAGACTCCATCTCTTTAAAAATAAAAACAAAAAGCCCTTTTTATTTCTTTTATGCAAATTAATTTCATTTTCTCTGTTTTTCTGTTATTTTTATAGGATATTAGTTTTTTGTCTTTGTTATGTTACATTTATTTTTTTCCAAGTTGACCATTTGCTTTTTTTCTTTGTTTGGTTGTTGAGATGGAGTCTCGCTCTGTCCCTGGAATGCAGTGGTGCCATCTTGGGTCACTGCAACCTCTGCCTCCCAGGTTTAAGTGATTCTCCTGCCTCAGCCTCCTCAGTAGCTGGGATTACAGGCGCCTGCCACCACACCTGGCTAATTTTTTACTTTTAGTAGAGACAGGGTTTCACCATGTTGGCCAGGCTGATCTCGAACTCCTGACCTCAGGTGATCCGCCTGCCTCCGCCTTCCAAAGTGCTGGATTACAGGCGTGAACCACAACGCCTGGCCAACCGTTTGCTCTTTTATCCTTGGTTTTGCTTTTACTCATAGAGAAAATTTTTATTTTTATATAGTTTAAAAAAAAAATTTAAGAACCTCTGAGGTGGCTTTTATATACTTGGAGAAGTTTTTCTTCAATGTGTATTTTTTAATTCCCATGTTTCTTCTGGCCACTGTATGTTTCCTCATATATATATATATATATATATATATATATATATATATATATATAAATACTTGATTTAGTTGTAATTTATTTTGGCGTAAGTTGTGAGAAATGGATGCAGCTTCCTCCCCGCCACACCAATGATACCCAGTTGCCCACGTGATTTTTTAAATAATTCATTTTGCCTCATGCATTTGGAATACTGCTTTTATCATGCACTAAATTCTTTCGTGTATTTGGGCCTATTTCTGGACTTTTAGTCTGTCTTAGTATTCTGTGGGCATCTCCATATGCTACAGTCACAGTGTTTTCATTACTTTATAAAGACCAGTCCAGCTTTCACTGTTTAAAACGTTCTGATCATCTTATTTTCCTTCTAAGTAAACTTTAGAAGCAATATTTTTAGTTCTTTCTGAATCCTATCAATATTTTATGCTTATTGCATAAATTTATAGCCAAATTCATGTAAAATTTTTTATTTATGCCCTTCTTTTCTGTGTTTTAATTTTTGTCTTATGTCTGCTTATGCCTTCAGAGCAATGCTAAATAATAGTGATCATAGTAGAAATTCTCATATTGTCTCCCTGATTTTAGTGAACATGCTTTAGGCATTATATATTAGTACTCATAAGTAGAATGGTCTGTATAGTGTTTTGTTTGTTTGTTGTTGAGATGCAGTCTCACTCTGTCATCCAAGCTAGAGTGCAGTAGCATAATCGCACCCAGCTCACTGCAGCCTCAGCCACCTGGGCTCAAACAATTCTTCTGCCTCAGCCTCCTGACTCATTTTTTTCTTTAAATTATTTATAGAGACAAGGTCTCGCTTTTACAGGCTGGTCTCCAGTTCCTGGCCTCAATTGATCTTCTCATCTCAACCTCTCAAAGTGCTGGGATTACAGGTGTGAGCTACCACGCCTGGCTTGTATGGTTTTTTTGTTGGTTGTTTATTACCATATTTGGTTTTATTATCTTATAGGTAATTTTAAAACTTTTTTTAAAAATCTGCTATGGAACAACTTAAATATCATTGGTATTACTTGTTCCTTAAATATTTGGTGGTAGACTTCACCTGTAAAACTGAATGGTGCTCTAGCTTTGGCGGGGAGGGGGGAATAGTTCTTAGTGATTTATTCCACTACTTCTAATGTAATCAGTTTCTTTTGGAACCAGGTTTGGTAACTTACATTTTCCATGGAATTTTTCTAATGTATTTACATATGTAGATGAACCTAGTACCCTTATATTTATTATAACGTTCTTTGTATTGTATTTTGTGTTCTTCACATTTGATTTCTTTGTTCTTTCCTACAGGAACAGGAAATATAGTGGTCATTATGATTAGCTATCCAAAAGGAAGAGAACTTCTGGAGCTGGTACAAAAAGGAATTCCAGTAACAATGACCATAGGGGTTGGCACCCGGCATGTACAGGATTTCATCAGCAGTCAGTCTGTGGTGTTTGTGGCCATTGCCTTCATCACCATGATGATTATCTCATTAGCCTGGCTAATATTTTACTATATACAGCGTTTCCTATATACTGGCTCTCAGATTGGAAGTCAGGTAATGATGGATAACCCTGAATTTTGCTTTTTAAAAGATAATTCATAAATATGCCCGATGTATATTGTTAGAAGTTACATTTGACCATATTCTTTATTTTTACTTACATTATTTAAGTATTCACATGACTTTTTAAATATAACTTTTTAATTGGGCAATGTTAAATTTTTTGTTTTGTGGGAAATTAGATAGTTTTAAATATAGGTTACTTTTTGCACATTTGGTTCCTGCAGGAACCCTCTTAGTCCTTTGTCAGACATAAAGCAGTGATGAAAAGGCCTGAATTGGCCAGGCATGGTGGCTAACACCTGTAATCCCAGCACTTTGGGAGGCCAAGGCGGGTGGATCACAAGGTCAGGAGTTCGAGACCAGCCTGACCAACATGGTGAAACCCTATCTCTACTAAAAATACAAAAAAAAGTTAGCCCGGCATGATGGCAGGCACCTGTAATCCCAGCTCCTCTGGAGGCTGAGGCAGGAGAATCACTTGAACCTGGGAGGCAGAGGTTGCAGTGAGCCGAGACCTCACCATTGCACTCCAGCCTGGGAGACAGAGTGAGATTCTCTTCCCCCAAAAAAAGAAAAGAAAGAAAGAAAAGGACTGAGTTAAGGGGTGCACCTGTCCTTAGGTAGCCCTCATTCTCTGACGAGGTGAGGAGCAGAGAGGAAGTGGGGGGGCGTCTCTGTCTCTATCATGGAGCCACAGTAAAGCCATTAATCTCTCTCAGTAACAGCGAAGAGAAGGGCCAGCGGCTTCCCAAGGCAGGTCTTTTGAATGTCCCACGTATTTCTGTCATTGTGGAAAGTTGACTGTTTTGTCTTGAGGATGAGGAAGAGGCCTTTTCCTTTTAGACACTTGAATAGATGAGCATATGGTACCTCTATCCTCAGCTCCTTACTTTCTTGCCAATATTTAAACATAAGAAGTGGTTTCTGCTTCAGACATGGAATTAAAATCAGTGCTCTTGATCAAGCACCTCTTTTTTTTTTTTTTTTTTTTTTTTTTGAGACAGAGTTTCGCTCTTGTTACCCAGGCTGGAGTGCAATGGTGCGATCTCGGCTCACCGCAACCTCCGCCTCCCGGGTTCAGGCAATTCTCCTGCCTCAGCCTCCTGAGTAACTGGGATTACAGGCACGTGCCACCATGCCCAGCTAATTTTTTGTATTTTTAGTAGAGACGGGGTTTCACCATGTTGACCAGGATGGTCTCGATCTCTCGACCTCGTGATCCACCCACCTCAGCCTCCCAAAGTGCTGGGATTACAGGCTTGAGCCACCGCGCCCGGCGATCAAGCACCTCTTAATGTTACATATGGCTATTCTGCTTATTAAGACTTAAGTGGGCCGGGTGCGGTGGCTCAAGCTTGTAATCCCAGCACTTTGGGAGGTCGAGGCGAGTGGATCACGAGGTCGAGAGATCGAGACCATCCTGGTCAACATGATGAAACCCCGTCTCTACTAAAAATACAAAAAATTAGCTGGGCATGGTGGCACGTGCCTGTAATCCCAGCTACTGAGGAGGCTGAGGCAGGAGAATTGCCTGAACCCAGGAGGCGGAGGTTGCGGTGAGCCGAGATCGTGCCATTGCACTCCAGCCTGGGCAACAAGAGTGAAACTCCGTCTCAGAAAAAAAAAAAAGATTAAGTGGCTTTTGTTTTGAAGCTTTTTTATTAAGTTGGAGCAGAAGTAATTGTGGTTTTTGCCTTAAAATGTTATTTTCAGTGTAGTCATTTGCCTTTGCCTTTTAAATGAAATTTTTTTTCTGTATACTTATGTGTATTGTTTGTGACTTTTAAGAAAAATAGTGATTTAAATTTTTCAATAACAACTATATTAATATTTTCCTATCCAAGAGCCATAGAAAAGAAACTAAGAAAGTTATTGGCCAGCTTCTACTTCATACTATAAAGCATGGAGAAAAGGTAATATTTTCATGGTTTTTCTTTTGTTTTATGGTTTAGAGAATATGCTGTACATGTTTATTTTAAAGAAGGATTGGAAGAAGTATTTTGCCATTGAGAAGAGCCTTCTAGTCCTGTACTATCTAATATGGTAGCCACTAGTCACTATGGCAATTTGCATTTAAGTGAATTAAATGTAATTTAAAATTGAGCTCCTCACTGATGACACTTCAAGCACTTTAGGAGCCACAGTTGTTGGTAGCTGCCCTACTGGACAGCTTGGACGTTCCCAGCAGCGAAGAAAGTGGTGCTGGTCAGAGCCGGAGAGCTAATAGCTTCGGTTCATTTCTGTTAAATCTGAGACTATGTGTCTACTCCCTGGAGTCCTTTAGTTACAGGGAGAAAATGTTACCATTTATGGAGGAGACAAAAGTTGTTTTAAAAACTACTTTTGGAAAAACAAACATTTTGACATGGCCTATCTGAGACTTAGAAGTTTCAAAATCACACCAGAATTTTAAAACATTTTTGAAATAGGACAAATCCTGAATCTAGAAGCTCAGATTCTTGGAGGATAGGTGCCTTAAAAGGAAAACCGTTGCTAATGCATAGTGTTTATTCTTTTCATAGTTCTGTGAAATGTTGATAATTGTGTTGACTTGCCGTTATGACTTGGTTCAGCTATTTTGATTTTCTTTCTTTCTTTCTTTTTTTTTTTTTTTGAGACGGAGTTTCACTCTTGTTACCCAGGCTGGAGTGCAATGGCGCAATCTCGGCTCATCGCAACCTCCGCCTCCTGGGTTCAGGCAATTCTCCTGCCTCAGCCTCCTGAGTAGCTGGGATTACAGGCACACGCCACCATGCCCAGCTGATTTTTTTGTATTTTTAGTAGAGACGGGGTTTCACCATGTTGACCAGGATGGTCTCGATCTCTTGACCTCATGATCCACCCGCCTCGGCCTCCCAAAGTGCTGGGATTACAGGCTTTGAGCCACTGCGCCCAGCCAGCTATTTTGATTTTCATGTTACCTCTGTAAATAAAAAAATCTATTTCATCCTCTATTCCCCTTCAGAAATAAAGAGTACTTGTACTTACGTATATATTCTTTGACCTTAAAGGATTAAAGCAAAAATAACACATTAACTTACAGACCTTTTATTTATTTATTTATTTAATTTGGAATTGATACTAATGGGGCTTTGAGAATTATATTGGTGGCTACCATTCCTTTGCTGATTGCTTTTGTAGTACAGTTCAATTTTAACATTTGTGCAAGGTATTGTTTTCCTTTCATACAAATTTATTGAACAGAAAAAGTAAAAAAGAAAGATTACATCTCATGGCTTAAGATTAGTGTCTGATTTGCAGATCACTCAGAAGGTCCTTGGGGATAAATAAAGTTTCCAGTTAATGCCTGTGGCAAACTCTGCGTGCATTCAGCATAGTCAGTTACTTGACAAGCATGTGGTTTATATTCCTCTTGGAACATGCCTTCTTAGCCTCCTTAGCAAGAAATTGCAGCTCTTAAGTATGAGAAGACATAGATGTAATGTTTAATTTACTGAATTGAGTCTTTGAGAACACAAGTAAATTGATATTATCCTCTTCTCATATAGAACAGTTTTGAAAATATGCTTACAAGGACTGTTTCTTGTTGTCAAAATAATGGTTAAAAAACAAGGAAACCTGCAAAACAGCCTTATGGTATATATTTTTTAAGAGGATTCCTAAAAGACTTGTGAGGTATATACAGATGGTCCCCAACTTCCAGTGGTTTGACTTAACAATTTTTCAACTTTCTGATGGTGTAAAAGTAATATACATTCAGTAGAAACCATACTTCAGGTGTTGTGTTTTTCGCTTTCAGTATGGTATGCAGTAAATTTTATGAGATAGTCAACACCCTATTATAAAACAGGCTTTGTGTTAGATGATTCTACCCAAGTGTAGGCTACTGTAAGTGTTCTGAGCATGTTTATGGTAGGCAGGCTAAGCCATGATATTCAGTAAGTTAGGTACATTAAATGCATTTTAAACCTAACGATATTTTCAGCTTACAATGGGTTCAGTAAGATGTGACCTATGGTAAGTTGAAGAGCAACTGTATACAGATTTTTTTGCAATTTTACTTTTTTTTTTTTTTTTTTTTTGTTTGAGACAGAGTTTCGCTCTTGTTACCCAGGCTGGAGTGCAATGGCGCGATCTCGGCTCACCACAACCTCCGCCTCCTGGGTTCAGGCAATTCTCCTGCCTCAACCTCCTGAGTAGCTGGGATTACAGGCATGCACCACCATGCCCAGCTGATTTTTTGTATTTTTAGTAGAGACGGGGTTTAACCATGTTGACCAGGATGGTCTCGATCTCTTGACCTCGTGATCCACCCGCCTCGACCTCCCAAAGTGCTGGGATTACAGGCTTGAGCCACCGCGCCCGGCTGCAATTTTACATTTTAAACTGTACAAAAAATGTGCTTTCTTCAGTCCATATTATATTCCATTCTAGAGAGACTAGTGTTGTCTAATTTTTATTTTCTTGTAGATTCATTCACAGTAATGTATAAACTTGCAAACCATGATTAGAGACTTTAAAAATTATCTCATCATTCTTGCCCTGCATATGATAAATGATAATATTTACTTTCATTGAAACATATAATTTTAAACATTGTTAAATGTTCATTTTAATATAGTCTTTGATAACAGTGTCTACATATAAAATCTAATGTGGTCTGGCGCAGTGGCTCACACCTGTAATTCCAGCACTTTGGGAGGATGAGGCAGGAGGATTGTTGCAGTCCAGGAGTTCGAGACCAGCCTGGGCAACATGGTGAAACCCTGTCTCTTTAAATAAATAAATAAATAAATAAATAAGACAATAATAATAGTAATAAATAAAATGTTTACTGCTTCCATATTGACAGGGGATACACATGGCTAACTGTCTAAATACAGTAATCACATAAGAATAGTGTATTAGTATTTAAACACTGTTCACTTCTGATTAGGCAGACAATGAAATTTTTTCCTTTTCAATCATATTATTTAGATAATCCTCTAATAGTGGTAAATACAAAGTACAGTTACTTGTGTTTTAGTTTCACCAGTTGTACCACAAGGGAATTCATCATTGTTTTAGTCACAATATAGTGATACCAAGGGATATACAATGTACCAAGGATATAATAACACTTTCCTTCTCTTTTTACAGGGAATTGATGTTGATGCTGAAAATTGTGCAGTGTGTATTGAAAATTTTAAAGTAAAGGATATTATTAGAATTTTGCCATGCAAGTATGTTACTTTTACCTACTGAAATGTTAAAAATTGCTTGACAAGTTTTAGGTGTATGACAAAATAGTTATTTGTGTTTTATGATACAAAGATTTCATCATCTGTGATCTCTTTTTAGAAAAGCAGCTTGGACTTTAAATGTATTATCTTCACAGCTCTTTAAGATTGCTTTGGCTAGGAGATTTTTTTTTTTTTTTTTTTTGAGACGGAGTTTCGCTCTTGTTACCCAGGCTGGAGTGCAATGGCGCGATCTCGGCTCACTGCAACCTCCGCCTCCTGGGTTCAGGCAATTCTCGTGCCTCAGCCTCCCGAGTAGCTTGGATTACAGGCATGCGCCACCATGCCCAGCTAAAATTTTTTGTATTTTTAGTAGAGACGGTGTTTCACCATGTTGACCAGGATGGTCTCGATCTCTCGACCTCGTGATCCACCCTCCTTGGCCTCCCAAAGTGCTGGGATTACAGGCTTGAGCCACCGCGCCCGGCCTTGGCTAGGAGATTCTTAGGTGACGTTAAGATTTGTATCTTTGTCATAGATTGGCTTTTAGTCTTCTAAGCAAGGCTTTATCAGAATCCTAGGATCCATTATACCTTAGCAGTGCAAAAAGTAAGCTGTGTTGGGAGCAAGAAAAATGAGGGACCAGGCAAAAGGGCCTGAAACGGCCTAAAGGAAGTGGATCAGGGAGGACAGTAATTTGCTGTTATTTGTACCCTGGGCTTTTGTTCCTTCTAAGGTTGTTTAAAATCAATATGCTTAACCAGACATGGTGGCTCACACCTGTAATCCTAGCACTTTGGGATGCTGATGCTGGTGTTCAAGACCAGCCTGGTCAATATGGTGAAACCCCATCTCTACTGAAAATAACAAAAATTAGCTGGGCGTGGTAGGACACACCTGTAATCCCAGCTGCTTGGGTGGCTGAGGCAGGAGAATTGCTTGAATCTGGGAGGCGGAGGTTGCAGTGAGTCGAGATCACGCCACTGCACTCCAGCCTGGTTGGCAGAGTGAAATTCCATCTAAAACAAAAAATTCTTTTTTTATTCAGATTACACTGAGGGTTTTTTAGTAGCAGGAAGTTACTTTAAAAAAAAAACAAAAGGCTGGGCGTGGTAGCTCATGCCTGTAATCCTAGCACTCTGGGAGGCCGAGGCTGGTGGATCACCTGAGATCGGGAGTTCAAGACCAGCCTGACCAATATGGCGAAACCCCATCTCTTTAAAAAAAAAAAAGGTCAGGTGTGGTGGCTCACACCTGTAATTCCAATATTTTGGGACGACAAGGCAGGCAGATCACTTAAGGCCAGGAGTTTGAAACTAGCCTGGCCAACATAATGAAACCCTGTCTCTGTTACAACAAAAATACAAAAATTAGCCAGGCGTGTTGGTGCCTGCCTGTAATCCCAGCTACTTAGGAGGCTGAGGCATGAGAATTGCTTGAACCTGAGAGGTGGACCTTGCAGTGAGCAGAGATTGTGCCACTGCACTCCAGCAAGACACTGTCTCCATAAAAAAAGTAATGGGATACTTTAATTGATAACTTTTTAAAAAGAATTGCTTTGTTGAAGGGTTCATTTTGTGTACAGAAATTGCATGTTTTAAGTCTGATGAATTTTTTTTTTTTTTTTTTTGAGACGGAGTTTCGCTCTTGTGACCCAGGCTGGAGTGCAATGGCGCCATCTCGGCTCACCGCAACCTCCGCCTCCTGGGTTCAGGCAATTCTCCTGCCTCAGCCTCCTGAGTAGCTGGGATTATAGGCACGTGCCACCATGCCCAGCTAATTTTTTGTATTTTTAGTAGAGACGGGGTTTCACCATGTTGACCAGGTTGGTCTCGATCTCTCGATCTTGTGATCCACCCACCTCGGCCTCCCAAAGTGCTGGGATTACAGGCTTGAGCCACCGCGCCCGGCCAAGGTCTGATGAATTTTAATTCACACCTATTAGAAGCAAGTTACAAGTCAATATATAATTATATTTTGCTTTGTTTGCAAAGTACTTTAGTGTATATTCAAGTGTTTTATAATATATTGATAATTCTGTGCAGGAAATGAAGGCATGAGTATCAGGGTAACAAAATGAAAGTTTCCTGAGTAAAAGTAGCTGGCTTAAACCTACAAACATTTATATGTCATTGGTACAGTGGGTACTGAATGAATTGGGTTGGATCAGTATAAGTTGATCATGTCCTGTAGAAAGTTACTAAAGTAGAGAAAAGAATTTTTACTTCAGGCTGCTTTAGTCTTTCTGACTTAAAACCGATGCCTGGGAAGCTGCACAAATGAGCAGCATTAGGTCATGCTGGTGACTGAGCTGGAGTTTGGACCTGACCCTCAAACACAGGTTCATATGCAGATTTCCTGGTTTCCTTATTGGGCTTTTGACTTTCTCCTGTGCTTTATGTAATAAATTTCCCAATAAAGCCAACATGTTCCTTTTAAGTTTTGTAAAAATTATTTCTTAAGTACTGGTTTTTTTTTTTTTTTTTTTTTTTTTTTTTTTTTTGAGACAACATTTTGCTCTTGTTGCCCAGGCTGAAGCACGATGGTGTGATCTTGGCTCACTACAACCTCTGCCTGCTGGATTCAACCAATTTTCCTGCCTCAGCCTCCTGAGTAGCTGGGATTAGAGGTTTCCACCAACAAGCCCGGCTAATTTTGTATTTTTAGTAGAGACCATGTTGGCCATGCTGGTCTTGAACTCCTGACCTCAGGTGATCCACCCACCTCGGCCTCCCAGAGTGCTGGGATTATAGGCGTGAACCACCGTGCCTGGCTGCAAGTACTGTTACTTTTTTTTTTGAGATGGAGTTTCACTCTTGTTGCCCAGGCTGGAGTGCAATGGCGTGATACTGGCTCACCACAATCTCCGCTTCCCAGGTTCAAGTGATTCCCTGCCTCAGACTCCTGAGTATCTAGGATTACAGGCATCCCTGTAATACCACCACTCCTGGCTAATTTTGTATTTTTAGTAGACACAGGGTTTCTCCATGTTGGTCTGGCTGGTCTCAAACTCTTGACCTTAAGTGATCCACCCACCTCAGCCTCTCAAAGTGCTGGGATTACAGGCATGAGCCACCATGCCCAGCCAAGTACTGTTATTTTTAACTCTACTAGCAGATTTCTGTTTGTAGAACAAGGTCTTCAAACAACAGCAATAATACTAAACAATTACTAAGTATGCTCTGTGCCTGGTGCAGTTGTATGCACATGGTACGTGCCCCTCAGCCCCTGGTGTGAGGCAGAGAGCATAGGAACCTAGTTCAGAGTCCCAGCCCACTCATGTCTGAGCCCAGCCTGTCTGGCTCCGAAACCCATACTATATTCTTAACTCCTTTTCTTCATCACTTGCAGAAAATAGATTTATCATACAGGAGGAAAAGTTAGCCAACTGAGGCAAATCAGCAAAAGAGTAAAATATATATGCCTTTTTTCTTTTTTATTCTGAAAATGATAGGTGCTCATTATGGAAAAATGGAGTGTATACAAAAATGTGTAAGAGAGAAACTAAGTGTTGCTTAAGCCTCAGCCCAAGATGATTTGTTAATATTTTTGTGGTATTTCCATTTGAGTCATTTTATGGACTTATATAAGGTACTGCCAGTTTAGTATTATTTTACTTATTACTACTAGTTGATTTATGCCACATTTTTTCCTAAAAAGCTTTAATAATTTACGAAGGCACATAAAAATGTACAGCCTAGCGTGAGGGCATATATAAGCCATGGTTTTTGTAGAGTGAAGGGAAACTTTCCCTAGAAGTGCCAGAATCTATTTCACATGAAAGAGAAAATAATGACTTATGATAAGTAAGTAGACTAGAATGTTGATTTGATGTCAGCTAACTTGTAATGAGAAGATAAGTTGGTAGAATGTCTTACTTCCTTTATAAGTTATATAAACATTGTTTTAAAAACATTAACACATACTTAATTTTTTTAGGCATATTTTTCATAGAATATGCATTGACCCATGGCTTTTGGATCACCGAACATGTCCAATGTGTAAACTTGATGTCATCAAAGCCCTGGGATATTGGGTTTGTTACATTTTTGTTTATATTCAATCTCTGCCCCAGTTCTTCCTGAGTGATTCAATTTCATTATTGACTATAAGCAAGAGGAACGGGCAAAATGCTCCTTCTAATATCCTTATGGTTCTCTGAAGAAAATTTCCTCATTATTAAAAATGAATTTTTAAGGCAGTACAAAAAAATCAGTGAAATAAATTTATGACGATAGAATAATATACTCAGATGTTTCCCGGAGAATTTGTAATTACTTAGAACAATATGTTTTGGTATGCTGCATCACAGAATGTATATATGCTAGTTAGTTTTCTATAAACAAGAATCATAAAATACTTGAAAAGGAAGGAGCCTCATAGTTTGCTGGCTTTAAGTGCATCTTTTATGTGTGAAGAAACCAAAGCCAGCACTTCTTACTGTCAGTTCTCCCTATTCCTAGGTTTCAAAATCAAATAGTTTGGGGGCAGTTTGTCCTGTAGTGAATTTGTTTCATCACTGATGGTAATAGGGCCTTCCACAGAAGACATGGGGGCAAAATGAAAAGGAAATCATAGTAGTAGCTAGCCATGTGCTGAACAAATGCCTTCCATACCTTGTTATGTCTGATCCTCACAGCTGCTATATAAGTACTGTCACTATTCCCATCTAATTAGACACTTGAGCCTAGAGAAGCTAAATAACTCACCTGAAGTCATACAGTTAGTTAATGGGGAATCATCTTTCAAATAAAGTTTGCTTAATTCCGGGGTCTAAACACTTAACTATTACCCTACCCAAAGAGGGGAACATAGAGGGAAAATACGTATTTGTTTAGGTTGTTATTTTTTTTCTTTTTAGAATTCTCATAAAATCTATTAATGTCTCAACATATTCTCATTTAAATGATAAACAGTTTTAGACTGGGCACAGTGGCTCACGCCTGTAATTTCAGCACTTAGGGAGGCCAAGGCAGAAGAATCACTTGAGGTCAGGAGTTCAAGACCAGCCTGGCCAACCTGATGAAACCTTGTCTCTACTAAAAATACAAAAAAAAAAAAAAAAAAAAAAAAAATAGCCAAGTATGGTGGCACACTTTTGTAGTCTGAGTTACTTGGGAGACCGAGGCAGGAGAATTGCCTGGGCCCAGGAGGCAGATGTTGTGCTGAACCAAGAGTGTGCCACTGCACTCCAGCCTGGGCAATGAGAATGAAACCCTGTCATAAGTAAATAAATAAATAAATAAAACAATTTTTAAATAAAGATCTTTGGGGGAAAATAATATCAAATATAGTCTTGTTGTAAACATATTTTTAGTTTTTCATAGAATTTATTGTAGAATTAGAAACTACAGTTTGAGTTTTCTTTTTATGATGAACATTTTATGCAGCTTTAAGCCATATGGTCATATAAGCTTCTGTAGTGGCATTACTAAAGAATTGACCCATGAAACAGACTTATTTCCCAAACTGCAGTCTGCTTAAAAATGCCCCCTCATCTTCTAGCTTAAGAGACTGCTTCCTTAATAACTACTGTCATTCTCTATGAATTATGGTCTATTTTTTATTGAGACAGCCTCACTTTGTCACCCAGGCTGGAGTGCAGTGGTGCGATCTCTGCTCACTGCAACCTCTCCCTTCTGTGTTCAAGTGATTCTCCTGCCTCAGCCTCCTGAGTAGCTGAGATTACAGGTAGATGCCACTATACCCAGCTAATTTTTTGTATTTTTTGGAGACAGGGTTTTACCATGTTGGTCTCAAATTCCTGGCCTTGAGTGATCTACCCACCTCAGCCTCCCAAAGTGCTGAGATTACAGGCATGAGCTGTTGCACCTGGCCACTGAATTATGTTTTGTTTTTTTTTTTTTTTTTTGAGACGGAGTCACGCTCTTGTGACCCAGGCTGGAGTGCAATGGCGCGATCTCGGCTCACTGCAACCTCCGCCTCCTGGGTTCAGGCAATTCTCCTGCCTCAGCCTCCTGAGTGGCTGGGATTACAGGCACGCGCCACCATGCGCAGCTGATTTTTTGTATTTTTAGTAGAGACGGGGTTTCACCATATTGACCAGGATGGTCTCGATCTCTTGACCTCGTGATCCACCCGCCTCGGCCTCCCAAAGTGCTGGGATTACAGGTTTGAGCCACCGTGCCCGGCCCTGAATTATGTTTTTTAAGTGCGAGTTCCAGAACACCTTCACTGTGTGCTCACAGGAAGGTGGAGGTCAGTGTTCCATTCTAGAAGATAGACAACTTTTCTAGACATCAAAACAGTCTGTTTCTAGTAAGGACTATCTTTGATGTCTAGAAAAGTTGTCTGTCTTCTAGAATTTCTAAAAAATCATGTATTCATGATTTTTGATAATTGTATCTGTGTTTAGCATGGCATAACATGCTTTCTTTTTGTTTTTCTTTTTGAGACAGAGTCTTGCTCTGTCACCATGCACCAGGCTGGAGTACAGTGGCATGATCTCGGCTCACTGCAACCTCCGCCTTCTGGGTTTGAGCAATTCTCCTCCCTCAGCCTCCCAAATAGCTGGGACTACAGGCGTGCGCCACCACACCCAGCTAATTTTTGTATTTTTTAGTAGAGATGGGGTTTCACCATGTTGACCAGGATGGTCTCTATCTCTTGACCTCATGATCTGCCCGCCTCGGCCTCCCAGAGTGCTGGGATTACAGGCATGAAGCACCGCGCCTGGCCATAATATGCTTTCTGAATGAACCTGGCTCATCCCTTCTTTACTCCAGAAACTGTAGCTTAGATGAGAGGATGAGCCTTTATGACACAGCATTTCAAATAATAGAATACGATGAATTTCTTTCTTGGCAAGGTTTTAGAATTCTTTTCCTTTATTAGATACACTCTAAAGTGTATTCTCAGTTGTTTTCTTCATTAGTCAGTAGTTTTTTTTTTGTTTTTTTTTTTTTGAGACGGAGTTTCGCTCTTGTTACCCAGGCTGGAGTGCAATGGCGCTATCTCGGCTCACTGCAACCTCCACCTCCTGGGTTCAGGCAATTCTCCTGCCTCAGCCTCCTGAGTAGCTGGGATTATAGGCACGCGCCACCATGCCCAGCTAATTTTTTGTATTTTTAGTAGAGATGGGGTTTCACCATGTTGACCAGGTTGGTCTCGATCTCTCGACCTTGTGATCCACCCGCCTCGGCCTCCCAAAGTGCTGGGATTACAGGCTTGAGCCACCGCGCCCGGCTAGTCAGTAGTTTTAAACGTGCTTTTCATTTCTGGATGTTTGAAAGGAATTTCACTGACTGTAGCACAGGGACTTTAATCCTCATGAGTTTTGTTCTTGGAAATAAGCTACATATATATTTCATATATTAAAAATTAAGATTCTTCATCTTATGTTGCTTTCTTAGAATGTTAATTTCAGAAAGCTAGAGTATCTATCTTCAGAATGCCTAATTTGTTTTTTGAAGAACAGAACCTGCAGTAACTTTAAACCTTAGAAACTTACCTGTCTTGCCTTTGACTTTTGAATCTTTTAGACAGTACATCCTTTCTGTGGACCTGTTGACCCCTGCTGCAGTGGATGCTTTAGTTAGCCATGCGGCTCCCTCTTTTAGTAACTAGTTCTCTATTTCTCCATAACTGTAGTGAGAGTCACTGTCAGTCTGCCACACAGGCTTTAAAGGTTTACAGCTATAACCACTTCAGTGTGTCCTTATCACTTGTTTCCATTGATTTGGCAAGGATGGGTCAAAGAAATGCCACCTAAGGTGCTAGATCTGAACTTGGCTCTGGGGAGACAAAGATGAGTAAGACACAGCCCCTCCTTTCATGGGCTCTTGAGGATTTTACTTTCTGGACTGTTTGGGGATCGTGGCACGCACACAGACATGACATGACCAAAGAGGCCTGTTTGAAGTGTTGCCTGTGTGAGCACAGAGGAGAGGTCATGTGCCCTGCTGCCAGGTAGAAGTTGGAAGGTGGAGCAAGTGCATTTGACAGGGGCAGCTGAGCTGGGTGTTGCATTATCCATCAGACAAACCAAGGTGTTGAGGATGATGCTGTGTCTGTGGAATGAACAGACAGGTTTGGAGGCTGGCAGGTGGTTAAGTTGGCAGATATTTAGGTGAAAAGGTTGGGACTAGGCTGAGCAGAGTTTGGGTATTGTGATGTTACAGCCACAGGATTTGTTGCTTGGTGTGTCGGGAGCAGGAATAGGAGGGTGTTACGTTATTGATGAGGCAGGAGAGGCAGGTTCTAGAACACAGGTGGAGCAGGGCTGTTGGGGGCACAGCCCAGTGGAGGGAGGTGGAATGTCTGTGAGTGGTGGTTTTACCTGAAGCAATGGATGCTGAGCCAGGCGGTCATAGTCAACCTGCAGTAACCCCTCACTTAATAAGTCACTTTACCAGGAGTTCCATCTACTTACAATGCAGCTTTGACTCTCTTTTTAATCAAATAAGGTTTCTAACTGTCCCCCAAATGTCGAGACATAACGTAGTGATGCTGTGTCTCTGGTCCCCCACTTTTACTGTCTTCCTTCTTTAAAGCAGCAAATGGAAGAGGGAGGGAAGGTAGAGCCAAACTACAGCTGATCAACACCCTGTCTGTACAGAAGAAGTCAGAGTGACTTTTTTTTTTTTTTTTAAGAAAATAATACAGTCTGAAGGCATCTGTTGTTCAAAAGCCTTGTTTATCTCTGAAACCCTAGTGCCTCACTGTAAACCAGCACAGGGCAGTAATCAGGTCTCATATCCTCTGTCCAAGAAGGCAAGAGTGGAAGAAAGCTTCACTTTCTGTCAATAGTTTAAAAGGTGGCATTGCTTGTATCAAGGAGAGGAAATGTTTTTTAGAATAAAAAACATGTAGGCCTTGGGAGGTTCATTGTCGAGAAAGAATTCATTTTCTCATACTAGATAAGGGAGACATTGATGTGCTTTTTGCCAGATTCATTATATAGAAGTACATAATATCATGTGTGAATTATGAGCTGGATGTTAGATAAGATTTGATCATGTTTTTTCTTCTGTTCTGATTCTCAAGGGAGAGCCTGGGGATGTGCAGGAGATGCCTGCTCCAGAATCTCCTCCTGGAAGGGATCTGGCTGCAAATTTGAGTCTAACTGACGATGATGGAAGTGATGAGAGTAGTCCACCATCAGCCTCCCCATCTGAATCTGAGCCACAGTGCGACACCAGCTTTAAAGGAGATGCAGGGGAAAGTACAGCGTTGCTAGGTGAGCAGTGTGCAGATTATAAACAGTGGAATGTGGCCAGGTGTGGTGGCTTGCTCATACCTGTAATCCCAGTGCTTTGGGAAGTTAAGGTGAGACAATTGCTTGAGTTTGAGCTATCAAAGAATAAATAACCAAGAATTTGAGACCAGTCTGGGTAACATAGTGAGACCCCATCCCTACAAAAAAATTTACAAATTAGCCAGGTATGGTGGCATGCTCCTGTAGCCCCAGCTACTGAGAAGGCTGAGGCAGGAGAGTAGCTTGAGACTAAGGGCTCCAGGCTGCAGTGAGCTATGATCCTGTCACTGTATACCAGCATGAACCTGGGTGACAGAGCAAACCCTGTCTCTTAAAAAAAAAGGAATTAGTAGCTGTGAAAGAAAATTTAAAAATACATAAAATGTAGAAAAGCATAAAGGAAACAAATGAAAACAATCATCCCACACCTAGAGATACCATTTTAACACTTTGATAAATTGTTTTTCTGGAAATTGAAGGGTGTTTAAGGGTGGCGGAGTATCACTTATGGGCTGTTAGGCAATCTACTTTTTACCTAATGTATGGCATTCTTTCTGTGTTGATAAATAGATAATTTTTTACAGCTACATAGTATTACATTTTGGATTTTCTGTAATTGCTTGAAACTATTAATGGTTGTTTATTATCAGTAGCACTTTGAAATCATTATGTATATATAACTTACCCCTTGTCTAATTGTTTTCTGTCACTCTAACAGGTAAAATATAGTGAACTGCATTTTGTGTGTGTGTGTGTGTGTGTGTGTGTGTTTTGTTTTGTTTTTTTTGAGACAGGGTCTTGCTCTGTTGCCCCGGCTGGAGTGTAGTAGTGAGAACACAGCTCATTGCAGCCTCAAACTCCCAGGCTCAAGCAGTCCTGCCACCTCTGCCTCCCAAGTAGCTGGGACCACAGGCCCGTGCCACCATGTCCAGCTAGCTTTTTTGTTGTTGTTGAGATGGAGTCTTGCTCTGTCGCCAGGCTGGAGGGCAGTGGCACAATCTAGGCTCACTGCAGCCTCGCTTCCCAGGCTCAAGTGCTTCTTCCGCCTCAGCTTCTCGAGTAGCTGGTACTATTGGTGCATGCCACCACACCCAGCTAATTTTTGTATTTTTGGAAGAAACGGGGTTTCACCATGTTGGCCAGGATGGTCTCGATCCCTTGACCTCATGATCTGTCACCTAAGCCTCCCAAAGTGCTGGGATTACAGGAGTGAGCCACTGCGCCTGGTCCCAGCTAGCTTTTTAAATTGTTTTGTAGAAATGAAGTCTCACCATGTTGTCTAGACTAATCGCATTTTTTTTAGTACTGATGAGATTACCCTCTTTTCACATTGTTGGTCATCTTTGTTCTTTGATTAATTGCTTATTTTATCCCTAGCTTACTTTTTTATGGAGATAGTAATTTTTCATACTGATCCTTAAAGAGTTTTTTATACACTGAAAATACTAAGGTCTGTCGTATATTTTGTGTAGTTCCCTCCCCATTTCTGTATCCCTTGACTTTTCACTGTATTTTCCAGACAGAAATTGTGTAGTTTAGTTTCCCGTTCTCATGATTCTGTCTTTGATTGCATGCTGACTTAGGAAGGTCTTTCTTATCTTAGGATTATAAAGATATTGACCTGTACTCTGCTCGTATTTGTGGGTTTTATATTTTACATTTAAGGCTTAATATACATAGTTTAAGGTGTGAGGGGAGATTTAACTAATCTGTTTTTTTCTTTTTATTCCACTTTATTAAACCTAAGTGTTTAATCAGTTGTCCTAATGTTGTTTAGCGAATAATTGCAAATAATATGTTTTGATATTTGCAAGGCAAATTCCTTTATCTTTATTCTTCTTTAAAAAAATTTCTGGGCTACTCTACATCATCACCATTATTATTATTATTATTGTTAGAAATGGAGTCTTCCTCTGTCGGCCAGTCTGGATTGTAGTGGTGCGATCTCAGCTCACTGCAGCCTCCGCCTCCGGGTTCAAGTGATTCACCTGCTTTAGCCTCCCAAATAGCTGGGATTACAGGCACACGTCACCACGCCTGGCTAATTTTTTGTATTTTTAGTAGAGACAGGGATTTCACTGTGTTGGCCAGGGTGGTCTTAAACTCCTGGCCTCAGGTGATCCACCCTCCTCGGCCTCCGAACCTGCTGGAATTACAGGTGTGAGCCAACATACCTGGCCTGTTCTACGTTTTTTAAAGATTAACTCTAAAATCATTTTACCAAGTAAAAGAAAATCTCATCAGAATTTTTATTGGAATTTGATTCACTTAAAGGTTATTGTAAGTGGGAAGAATTGATGCTTCAGATTTTGGATTTTGTCATCCTGGAAGAGGAAGCATATTTTTCCAAAGCAGTAGGATTCAAACTAAGTCCGTTTCTTTGTAGCACATTTAGGATCTGTAAGGCAAAAATAGGTAGAAATATTAGAGTGTAAGTATTAACCAGTAAAAGAATGCATTGTGGAAAAGAAAAGGAGAATAGATTTCAGAGAATTATAAAATTGTAGCAATCGATCTGTGTAGGCATTCTTCTTACCAGCTCTCCAGCTAAGACTGGGTCAGCTTTCAAAGCAGCATGTTTCGTTGGTAAATGGCTCTTAAGAATCTCTTTATGTAGAGCCAGAGTGCATACCAGTGTGATTTTTGCCATTGCCTTCCAACTCCAGAAAGAAAACTAACTTTGCCTTCTCTAGTACAGGAGCACCCTTGAGATACTAAGACTCTTATTCTGCTAAATGTCCTTCAAAAGTAGCCTCCAGATTTTTCTGCATTCTTGCTACCTTATTAACTTGCAGTGTATTACAGCTGACCATTTTCTGTCCTGAAATGCTCCCTTAGAACTAAGGTAGTATAATTTGATTTGAAATCATGGGTAGAAATGAAAGTAGAAGCAGCAGCTAGGTTTACAAAGCAGCAGAATGTCAGATACATTCTGAAGCAGCCAGATTCCTCCACGTCCCCACCATTGGGGGTGGTGACACATTAATTTCTACCTCTTAGGGATAATATATAGTGCCTGGTAAATACTGGCCATTGTTGTCATTGGCAGCAGTATCACCATCACCTTAGCTACTTGTTCCAACTTTTGTGAACATCTGGTGCCACCATCTCTGTCTTTAAAAACTGATCTGCTGGCCAGGCGCAGTGGCTCAAGCCTGTAATCCCAGCACTTTGGGAAGCCGAGGCGGGTGGATCACAAGGTCAAGAGATTGAGACCATCCTGGTCAACATGGTGAAACCCTGTCTCTATTAAAAATACTAAAAATTAGCTGGGCATGGTGGCGCGTGCCTGTAATCCCAGCTACTCAGGAGGCTGAGGCAGGAGAATTGCCTGAACCCAGGAGGTGGAGGTTGCGGTGAGCCGAGATCGCGCCATTGCACTCCAGCCTGGGCAACAAGAGCGAAACTCTGTCTCAAAAAAAAAAAAACTGATCTGCTAAGGCCGGGTGCTGTGGCTCAAGCCTGTAATCCCAGCACTTTGGGAGGCCGAGGCGGGTGGATCACGAGGTCAAGAGATCGAGACCATCCTGGTCAACATGGTGAAACCCTGTCTCTACTAAAAATACAAAAAATGAGCTGGGCATGGTGGCGCGTGCCTGTAATCCTAGCTACTCAGGAGGCTGAGGCAGGAGAATTGCCTGAACCCAGGAAGCGGAGGTTGCGGTGAGCTGAGATCGCGCCATTGCACTCCAGCCTGGGTAACGAGAGCGAAACTCCGTCTCAAAAAAAAAAACTGATCTGCTGATGAGATTAATATTGGCTAGGCTAACACTAGAAAAACCCTTATATGTGGACGATGTTTACCGATTTTTCTTGTTGGCTGTCAGTGGAATGGATTATCAGTTTTGCATATATGTTTTATTTAAAATTTTCTGTTTACCATCTTGAATTATCTCCAAGTGAGAAACTGTGTTTGTGTAATTGAAGCTCACAATATGCTACCCTCTTCTCCTGATGGAGTAGCTTGTGTTGCTCTCTTGCAGAAGCTGGCAGGAGTGACTCTCGGCATGGAGGACCCGTCTCCTAGCACACGTGCCCACTGAAGTAGCACCGACACAAGTTTGGCTTCAACTAAAGGACATTTTATTTTTTTTACTTTAGCACATAATTTGTATATTTGAAAATAGTGTACTTATTTTACCTATTAGGTTCTGATTTAATATACAAAGGGCTATTTTATTCTTAAAGAGACTTTGATTAGTCTTCCTATATTTATCTACTAAAATATAGTGTTTATGAACATTGTGTTGTTTCAGACTATTAAAAAGCCAACTGGGGCAGGTACTCTAATGTAAAGGACAGGAGATGTTTCTAAATAATAGACTGGCTGCTATGGTACTGTATAAAAAGGTTAATTCTATTTTTTGGTTAAGCACATCAATTTTAGATTAGTTGAAGTGGAATTGTATAATTCAGTTCAATAATTGATCACATGGGCTTTCCCTGGAGGAAAGTTTTTTTTTTTAAGAACTTGAAACTTGTAACTGAGATGTCTGCAGCTTTCTTGCCCGTCTGTATTATATGTGAAGATTTCAAAACCTGAGAGCACTTTTTCTTTGTTGTTTAGAATTATGAGAAAAGCACTAGATGACTTTAGGATTTGCATTTTTCCCTTTATTGTCTCACTTCTTGTGACGCCTTGATGGGGAAGGAAATCTGTTTATTTTTTCCTACAAATAAAAAGCTAAGATACTACTATATTGCACGTGAGCATTACGTTCTTCATTGCTTTGTTAAGCAAAATGAGTAGGCAGACTGAAAATCTGTTATATTGGTTTGAGTTACAGTTTAATCTTTAAAATTAAAAGAGCAATAGATGTAGAATTGTAATTTTGTGTTGACAAGAAATCACCAGTTTTCTTGATTCGCGTTTAAGCACATTTCATACCATAACCTTCTTTAACCATTTCTTCTTTTTTACTTGTTTGCTGTTCTTCTGGATCAAGGGAGAAGGCTAATGCAAAACTTTTGGAAAAGTGCTAAGTATTAGAAAGTGATTAAACACACACACCCTGCTGTTTCCTCACTTCTTGGAGGTAGAGGTGAGGGAGTATGAGGCAGTTACTGTTCAGAACGTGGAATTGTCCTTTGTTGCTCTGTATATCTTTACATTGTAAGTTAAAATGTTTCTTGAAAAAAGTTTTACGTAAATTTATTCTTATAGCCATATGTAGGATATAAGGATTTATATAGATTATTTTCTCAAGCTACTTAATGCTTTGATTCTAGCTACCCATTGTGATAGTAAGCAGTTTTACTGAAATAAACTCTATAGACAGATGCAGTATGAGGAGCTAGTAAAGTAGAAAATTTATTTTGCTTTGCACAAAAAAAGTTTGTTTTAGCAGACAGCCTCAAGTAGGTTTCTATAACAGCCATTACCTTTGAAATCTACCTTCTGTAGTTTAATATAAATAGGAAAATATCCTGATTCTGTAGCAAGTAAATTGTTTGCTCTTTGTCTTTTAAGAAAAACTAGAGGAAAATGTTTCAACTGGTCGTTCTTCCCAGTGGCTAATGAAGCTGACTTTTAAAAAGAAGGCTGTGAGCTTTGCACATGCTGCTGCTGCTGCCTGGAGCCCCCTGCTTCCAGCCATGGTCAACCCCACCATGTTCTTCGACATTGCCGTGGATGGTGAGCACTTGGGCTGTGTCTCCTTCAAGGTAAGGGGCTTGGAAACCAAGAAGTACTGCACATCTAATCCACGAAACTGTGTTAACAGATTGGAGCTGTTTGTAGACAAAGTTCCAAAGACAGCAGAAAACTTCCATGCTCTGAGTATTGGGGAAAAAGGATTTGGTTATAAGGGTTTCTGCTTTCCCAGGATTATTCCAGGGTTTCTGTGTCAGAGTGGTGACTTCACATGCCATAACAGCATGGGTGGCAAGTCCATCTGCAGGGAGAAATTTGATGACAGGAACTTCATCCTAAGCATACAGGTCCTGGCTTCTTGTCCATGGCAAATTCTGAATGCAGCATGAACACTTCCCAGTTTTATATCTGTACTGCCAAGACTCCAAGACTGAGTGGTTGGATGGCAAGCCTGTGGTCTTTGGCAAGGTGAAAGATGGCATGAATATTGTGGAGGCCATGGAGCACTTTAGGTCCAGGAAAGGCAAGATCAGCAATCAACGAGATCATCACGTTGCTGATTGTGAACAACTGTAATTAATTTGACTTGTGTTTATCTTAAAAAAAGAAATACTGTGACAGACCAAGGTAAATTTTTTTTGATAATTACGTAAGTGTGATTTCGTAATCAGCAGCTGTCAAACATAGTGTTCCTTAATTTAAAAGCTTGAACACTAAATTATAAATAAAAACGGTTGGAGGCCGGGCACGGTGGCTCAAGCCTGTAATCCCAGCACTTTGGGAGGCCGAGGCGGGTGGATCACGAGGTCAAGAGATCGAGACCATCCTGGTCGACATGGTGAAACCCCGTCTCTACTAAAGGTGCAAAAAATTAGCTGGGCATGGTGGCACGTGCCTGTAATCCCAGCTACTCAGGAGGCTGAGGCAGGAGAATTGCCTGAACCCAGGAGGCGGAGGTTGCGGTGAGCCGAGATCGCGCCATTGCACTCCAGCCTGGGTAACAAGAGCGAAACTCCGTCTCAAAAAAAAAAAAATAAAATAAAATAAAATAAAAACGGTTGGAATAATTACAGTCATGTCTCTAGAAACAAGTCTTTAGTAGCAAAAAAGAAATTAGCAAGAGAAAAAGACTCTTCAGAACTTTGAAAGGAAATAGTTTTCATTGATAGAAGTTTTCTTAGATGGAAATTAACAAGATAAAGAAGTGACAGGCTGGATGTGGTTGGTGCATGCTTTGAACACGAACAGTGAGAGGCCAAGATGGAAGGATCCCTTGAGCCCAGGAATTCAAGCCTAGCCTAAACAACACAGCAGAAGTCCATCACTACTAAAAATTTAAAAATTTAGCTGGACACGGTAGCACCCGCCTATTGTCACAGCTACTTGGGAAGCTGAGGTGGGAGGATCGCTTGAGCCCAAGAGGTCAAGGCTGCAGTGAGTTGTGATCACCTCTGCACTCCAGCCTGGGCAAGAGAGACCCTGTCAAAAAAAAAAAAAAAAAGGAAGGGCCAACTCTTACGAGAGTTTCTACTAAAACTTTTAAGTTGATTAAGATGCAGAGAATTGGGGGAATGTAGAGTATAGTAAATCAGATTTCATTTAGTTACATTATTTACCACACGAATCACTTTCCTTCCTCCTAACAGTTGTCTTAAGAGACATGTGTTCACATGTACTGTAGACTAGTATTTCACTGTGGAAACCACGGGTGGCGTGGCAAAGGAGGCAGTGTTCGTGACTGTGCCACTCTCCGCAGCCCCCTGCCTGCTGTCCTGCTTCTTCCACTCCTCGGTGTCTGGACTGGCATTCTGGGTTTCCCAGCAGAAAACCAAAGGGCCAGAGAGGTCTAAAAACACACACCACTCGGCAGGTAATAATTTCCCCACGTGCTGTCTTTTTAGGGATCTTGAACACACAGCCTTTCCCAAAAGACTGCTCCCTCCAGCGACTGAGGAATGATGACAAGAAAAGGCCGAATTGCAGTGTCTCCATCAGCAGTTTGCTCTCTCTATGGGCACACAATGACAGAATATCCTGAAGCGAACCAATAGTCTGACCTCAGTAACAGGACTGGAAGCTTTGTGCCATGGGAGTGGTCAAGAAAGGCATCCCAAAGAGAACTGAGCGATTTAAAAATCATAATAGAAGGCCGGGCGCGGTGGCTCAAGCCTGTAATCCCAGCACTTTGGGAGGCCAAGGCGGGTGGATCACGAGGTCAAGAGATCGAGACCATCCTGGTCAACAAGGTGAAACCCCGTCTCTACTAAAAATACAAAAAAAATTAGCTGGGCATGGTGGCGCATGCCTGTAATCCCAGCTACTCAGGAGGCTGAGGCAGGAGAATTGCCTGAACCCAGGAGGCGGAGGTTGCGGTGAGCCAAGATCATGCCATTGCACTCCAGCCTGGGTATCAAGAGCGAAACTCCGTCTCAAAAAAAAAAATAAAATAAAAAAATAAAAATCATAGTAGACCTTCAGGAATAGGTGATTGTCCCCATATCGCAGGGATGAAATACCCAATGGAACCAAATTCCCCAGTAAGACAGCTTAATTTGGCAATAGTCTCTTCCTTTGAGCATGTTAAAAGTTTATCTGCTCAACGAAGGCTGAAATTATGTCAGTATATATGTATTACTAACTAGAACTTGAGGTAATTATATGTTTTAGTCAAAAGCAGTTTCTGTGGGCCTGGTATAAATTCTACTTTGTGATTTACTAAAGTACAGGATGTTGACTCAAACCAAAACTAGTTCTGTAGTTAATGTATGTTATGCTTCTGTGACTTAATAGCCAATTAGAAAAGCCACCTACGACATTCCCAGCCAATTTAGTTTTAAAAGTTTTTTTTAAAAACACTTGTCTGCCAGGTGCAGTGCTCACGCCTATAATCCCAGCACTTCGGGAGGCCGAGGCAGGTGGATCACAAGGTCAAGAGATGGAGACCATCCTGGCCAGCACAGTGTGAGACCGTCTCTACTTAAAAACACACAAAAAAATTAGCTGGATGTGGTGATGCATGCCTGTAGTCCCAGCTACTGGGGAGGCTGAGACAAGAGAATTGCTTGAAACTGGAAAACGGAAGTTGCAGTGAGCCAGAATCACACCACTGCACTCCAGCCGGGCGATAGAGTGAGACTGTCTCAAAAAAAAAAAACAAAAAACACTTCTCACCATATTTTCAAAAATACTAACATTTGGATTACTAGTTATAAAAGTGAAATTTCTACGGTGTCATAATCAGCCATGCAGCTGGAGACTTGCCCTCTTTCTACAGCGAAGTTGTGAAGAAAAGTGTTTGCACTACATTCATTTAAATATTAGGAAAAAAAGCCAACCCATTCTTTTTTTTTTTTTTTTTTTGCTGAGTTGTAGGGTTGTATTACGGGCTAGTGAGAAGCCTGGGAACACTAGGATTTTGTGTGGACTGATTGCAGATATCAGATCCAGGATTATACAGGTACTCTGGGAAGTGTCTTGGGGATTTTCCTGATAAGAACAGTAGCAGTTGCATAAAAACAACATACAAGATGTAAAGTGAAATCAGCAAAGTATCTTAGTAGACAGAGGGTGCTGGAATTTTAACAAATGTGTGAAAAGTTCATCCTGTGCATTAATTTTCCAGATACCCTTAAAATGTTTAAGGAATATCATTCAAAATACTGTTTAAGAGAGACATGTGACCATCATCAAGAAAATGTGAATCATTTAATGTGCTACTTAAAATTAGGTGAAAATGTATATGTACATTAGAAAAATAAAAACTGATTATTTCTTTAAAGCTTTCTAAATGAAGAAACACTGTTAATTATTTGTAATAGTTATATTTTAGAATCCCAAACTATTTTTGAAATAACTCCTTTCTACCCTGTTACTTATTGCTGTCTTCTTTTTAACAGGTGATTTGAAGATTTTGAAGCTAGAAATTGGAACTAGAAAATCCCAAGAATTCAAGGTGTCTTAATGTGACAGTTGAACTCATTTGATTACACTTAAAAGTTTATTGCAGTTATTGAATCTCAATTTTATTTATTTATTTATTTATTTTTTAGTACAGTGGTGCCATTGTAACTCACTGCAGCCTCAATATCCCAGGCTCAAGAAATCCCCCCACCTGAGCCTCCAGAGTAGCTGGGATTACAGGTGCATGCCATGCCCTGTTAATTTTTTGTTTTCAGTATAAACAAGGTGTCACTATGTCCTGCAGGCTGGTCTTGAACTCAAGTGATCCTCCTATCTTGGCCTCCCAAAGTGCTGGGGATTACAGGTGTAATTCACTAAACCCAGCCACCAATTTTTTTTTACTTTAGGTAAACTTTTATTTTGAAGAAGTTTTTGTTGGTGTTACAAGTGTAAATCTCGACTGTTTTGTAAAATGTTCTATAAATATAACCACGATTCTTTGTAAGCTATTTAAATTTAGTCTTTCAAGTAAACACCAGTATTGTGATTTTGATCGTCACTCATGAAGTCCATATTTGAGCATTTGCCTACTCACTAAAATTTGTAACTCCAAACAAAATAATCACATGCAGTCATTTTCAGACATGCACAGAGCAGTCAATGAGCCAAGTTGCCTGACAGGCACATTCTTTACCGAGGATGAAAGAGGGGATTCTCTGCCCTGTTTCCTCTCCTACTACAAAGCGTCCTTTCCTAATCTCTTAAGTACTGAATTCTTTGCATTTTTTCACCTTTCGTTGGTGATTTCACTATTTAAAATGGTCCCCAGGTGTAGCAAAGTATTGCCTGTTGTTTTAAGGGCAACAAGGCTGTGATGTGCCTCATGGACTAAGTGTCTGGTTGTTACATCAGCTTCATTCAGGCACGAGTGATGGTGCTGTTGGCTGTTAGTTCAATGTTTTATGATGCCAGAGAATCAGGTGGTCCTGGAACCTAAGGCTGGGTTGTTGAAACTGCCACTCTAAAAGTACTTCAATAAAGCTATTCTTTTTCCCAATGCTAATGTATAAAATGCAGATACTTGCTTTTAAGCATAGAAAGAAATCATTTGTAGCCATCATTTAGTCTGAAGGCATTCTTCTGATAGATGGTCTTTTCTCTAAGCAAACATTCTTAAACATTTCCAAGAAAAACTAAGAATTTGTTACAAATCTTTAGTACTGCTCTTCAGTGTTTCAAAGTAAAACATTAGAGTTTAAAGTAAAAGATTAGAGCTTTTACTTTAACTGTTTCAAAGTGTTAGTAATTCCCGTTGAACAGATTGTCTCCCTGTAAATATGCTTTGGAAGTGCCTCAGGAAAAGGAATTTCTCATGATTTCTTAAGTAAAAAAATATATCAGATAACAGAGTTGATAAAAAGAACTTTAATGGAAGGCACTGTTGTCCAAAATTATGTAAGGGGTAAAAGCCCACACGGTACCACCCTGCTCTACTTTCTCAAACCCACATCTGAGACAGGAGGGTGCAGAGCCCACAGGAAATTACCTCCCAGAACACTGACTGATGTTTTTCCTTAAAACAAAACAAAAAAAATGGCCATCTCAGACTAAGAACATCCTAAGAGATAAAACAAAAAACATACCAGCTATTACAGCCTGTTAACAGAAGCAGCTTTCTAAGAGCTCCCAAGTTTGTAAGAGGCCCAAGAAATGCATTTATTCTGTTGTGTATTAAGCCTCCATGACAAGGAGAAAGTTGTAAGTAAATCCTTCATTCATACTGTGCCTCATGAGGAGTTAAGAGCTGTGTCCATAAGCAGGTGCAAGAACCAAACTCCTGTTTGCCTCTTGATGGTTCAGGAACATTCAGCTGCTTTTACCTCAAGGACAGTATCACAAATGCTTAAGAATTTACTCTAAAGTGTTTTCAACATTGGAACTTTACGAAAACTGGATTCCTGGTTCATCAGAAGCCTGTATTAATGAAAAATGCATTTTGTTCTTTAGTACTTTTTAAAAAAACTACTTTTTTTGCAGCAACTTTTTTTGGGATAGACATTCGTCCTATGGATTGTTACCAGCAAGAACCTAAAAGCCACGTTTTCTCCAGTTCTTATCAAAAATTCATCTCCCAGAAAAAGTCATCCAAGAAAGCAAAACTTTAAAAGTAGATATTGTTTCTATGCATTAGACCAAGCAGTCCACTCAGAGTTTTAACGGTGTAAAAACTAAATCACAATACAGCTGAACGGTGAACAAAAGGGATGGTTCTGATGTGATGAGGTATTATTTTGACATTTTGGTCTCCGAAGGTGTTTCCCCGGTATCCAGTGTCTTCAACAACCGGAAAAGACCAGCAGCTTCTCGTATCCTACTGAATTCAATACAGAATGCCTGCACTTCTATAAACAAATCCTGTACATTAATAATTTTGTTACGGATCAAGGATTGGAGAAACACACACACAAGACGCACCAACCGATTCTGAAAAAGGAAAAAAAAAATGTTAGTGTTCTCATTTACCTGGCAGATATTTATGAAATTTACAAAAATTTCTATTACCTGCATATATTTATCCTTAATTTGTTCACAAGTAGAGATGCAATTTGATATATAAAGGTGAATAAACTCAGGAGGTAGATCAACAGCTGTAGTTAGTCTGTTTCATAAAAGAAAATTTGGGCCATTAATTTAATTTGCTAAGATTGAAAAATACTATTGACCATAAAATACAAAATCTGCTTTGGTCAAGTGGTAGAATTCTCTGACATATCCAATTCCCCAGTTTTAAATACACTTGGGCAAGTAAACCTAAGAGCCACACCTACTTATTCATAAATAACACTTGCTTAAATGTCTCTACTTATCATTACATACCGCAATTATTTTTTTGAACCCTGCCCCTGAGTATTCTTAGTTAAATCATAAGTCAGGTCTGTTATCTGCCAAGTTCCAAGATGTTACAGGTAAGTGCTATGAGACGACAGTGTGTCTGAGAGGAAGGTGTATGTTTGCTATGTAAACAGTACAATATATAACCAAATGCTAACGAGATGATCTGGGAAACGCCTTAAAAGGGCAAGTCACTTAAACCTGAGAAAAGCAGCATTCCCGGTAACTGAGTAATCTGCATAAAGGTGTGGAATCTGGCATCAGCATGGCATATTCAGGAGCAGTGGGAAAGACCTGGTTGGGAGAGAACCAAAGGCAAGGTGGTGGCCCAGAATTGGAGTTTCAAGTCATAGTAAAGGCTAAAGCCAGTATTTTCCAAAGGATTACATGGAATGTTTTAAGGAAAGAGAAATGAGTGAGGTGGGAACAGGAATTCCATGCTCAGGGTATGAATTTCCAAAAGAAGATTAATATATGCTGCCTTTTCTAAACTTATCAGACCTCAAAACTGTTTTCAATTAAGGCATGAGGAGGGAGAGCTCCAAGGACACCATGAGCTGCTGCAGTCACTTGAGATCTGTGTGTCGCCAACAATTGTGTTTCATGCTTCAGGATGATGCACTATGACAGGTGTTGGGGAAAAACACGCAGGACTTTGTCCTTGAATTCCAAGATACTGAGCAGACAGAATCACACTGTAAAAATACGTAGTTATTCTACATCTTGGACGCAGGATCAAATGTCTGTAGAGACAAGAACTGCTACAGGAATATGGTGAAGGGGAAGTGAACACAGCGTAGTCAATCCAAAGGACTTGCACAGAACTGGGTTACTGAAAGAAGAGTCTTCACTCGGTAGGGGAAAGACTGGAACAAGGAGGGAGAGAAACGCAGCAGCATGTTTTCAACAAGCCAGTTTTGCCAGTGACCAAGGTTAAAGTTAAAAATCAATTTGTAAACCTCACACTTCCTCTCCTAACCCTAAAAGAACACTCTCTCCTCCTACGCACATACTAGCACTCCCCAGGCTTCCAGCTAGGCTTCCCCGCACCCAATAGTTGATGAAAAAAAGACACATCCTGTAGAGTTCAATTTCACATGGATTTTTCAAAAATCTCCAACTTACAAACGAGTGTTCAAAAACTGTGCTCTTAACTGAAGTTTAGTCGCCTGGCACTCAGAATGGATTTCCTCATATAGGAGGACCATATAATTTATAATCCAAAACAGGACACCACATGAAAAGGAGCTCAGAATGCAAAGCCTCCACTAGGACTCTCAGGCACACCTGGACATAAACACCTTAACCCCTCCAGCCCACCTAATCCACAATTTACCTAAAAGGTATCTGTAAGGAAAATATAAAATGCAAACACTGTACAGAACACATCAAGAAGGGAAGACATCCTGCTTTCCTGACAGTCAAAGATGGCAGGCTCAGGAGACCAGGGGTCAGAAAGGCTGGGGAAAGAGCACTAGCAAGCTAGGACAGCATTCCTAGGATTCTCAACTCTTTAGGCCCCTATTTTTCTTTTCTTTTTTTTTTTCCTGGGACGGAGTTTCGCTCTTGTTACCCAGGCTGGAGTGCAATGGCGCGATCTCGGCTCACCGCAACCTCCGCCTCCTGGGTTCAGGCAATTCTCCTGCCTCAGCCTCCTGAGTAGCTGGGATTACAGGCACGTGCCACCATGCCCAGCTAATTTTTTGTATTTTAGTAGAGACGGGGTTTCACCATGTTGACCTGGATGGTCTCGATCTCTTGACCTCGTGATCCACCCGCCTCGGCCTCCCAAAGTGCTGGGATTACAGGCTTGAGCCACCGCACCCAGCTAATTTTTTTTTTTTTTTTTTTTTTTTGAGACGGGGTTTCGCTCTTGTTACCCAGGCTGGAGTGCAATGGCGCGATCTCGGCTCACCGCAACCTCCGCCTCCTGGGTTCAGGCAATTCTCCTGCCTCAGCCTCCTGAGTAGCTGGGATTACAGGCACGTGCCACCATGCCCAGCTAATTTTTTGTATTTTTTAGTAGAAACGGGATTTCACCATGTTGACCGGCATGGTCTCGATCTCTTGACCTCGTGATCCACCCACCTCAGCCTCCCAAAGTGCTGGGATTACAGGCTTGAGCCACCGCGCCCGGCTAGGCCCCTATTTTTCTACACTTAACAGCTGTTAGTCACTAAGAAAAAATATATTTGTATAGGGATAATAAAGAAGATAGGACTATGTATAGGGAAATAAATTTCAGCAATTGGCTGGCACAGTAGCTCACATCTGTAATCTCTGCACTTTGGGAGGCTGAGGCCAGCGGATCACCTGAGGTTAGGAGCTTGAGACCAGCCTGACCAATATGGTGAAACCTTGTCTCTACTAAAAATACAAAATTAGCCAAGTATGGCAGCACACACCTGTAATCCCAGCTACTAGTGAGGCCGAGGCAGGAGAACTGCTTGAACCCAGGGGGCAGAGGTTGCAGTGAGCCAAGATTGTCACTGCACTCTAACCTGGGTGATAGCACGAGACTCAAAAAAAATAACTTTCAGCAACTTAAGTTTCATGTACACTTCTACTAACACTAAATATGTTTGAAATCCTACCCTCAGTTCTTACTAACACATGCCAAATTCACATGTAGTGAATGCTAAGGCTCAGATTATTTCTTTAATGGGTAAATCTTATGCCAATAATATCAAGACAAAAATCTCTTAGTTTTCTTTCCTGGCCATCTAATCTGTATCTATCCCCACATATTTGATCAAATCTAGAAACTTACCGATTTACAACTTCCATTGAATGTAAAGACATGTCCATATTGACGAGGACGGAGAAGTACTCAGTGATCTGGCTTGACTGCATTAATTTCAGCAACATTTCTATAGCGACTAAAGGGTTGTTTTCCACAAGGTCAGGAAGTTTGGCTGGAGTGAGGCCAATGTGGTAGACAAGTTTGGGGTCTTTTTCCAACTCACCAAGGAGCTAAATACACCGGATTTTTAAAGAGAGGGAGAGAGAAAGAAGGTCTTGAGTCCATTTTTTTTTCATGTATATGAAATAAGCATTTTATTTTAAAAAGCTACAAAACTATCTGCATTGAACCACCTTCATAAATTTCTTCCCTCAAACCCAGGGCTTGATGTTTCTAAATTTACGTTTTAATTTTGAAGATACTAAAATGCAGACACATCCAAGACAGTTTATAAATATGCTAGTGATTCCTCTTCCTGGACATCAAACCAGACTCCATACTGTGGTCAGATACAAGACTGTCTGGTTGTAACAATGACAAGTCCTTTGCAGACTTTTTTTTCTGTCATCTGTTGAAATCAAAAATAATCTTAATGACCATCTAGTTCTCCCAAGCAACAGTCCTGCCTCACCCCACCCAGGTGGAGACCAGAAATACCTGAGAAGGGGGTGGGGTGGGAAAGCAGACAGCTGACCTGCTGCGAGGCATCAGTCTGCAGAACTTTACAGTTATCACACCCACACTTTGTAATTTAAACAGGTATCCTCATAACATTTTTTCCACCAAATAGGCACTTCCTCTTTTAAATGTCCTATGCTTTTTTCCCTGTCTACTTACTGTTCCACAGTGGGATGGTCTCATGAGCAAAGTGAACTATAAATATTGTTATTCATTATTTCACTTTGAAAATGATATTTTTGGTGGCAGACTTCATTGGAGAGGTCAAATCTCTCCTGAAAAGTTCTAACTCAAAAGCGTGCAAACTGGATAAAATTCACCAACCAGCAGAAGGCCTCGCCTTTCCTGAGGGAATCATCCAGTCTTGCACTTGGGCAGTGGGGGCTATATTAATCTCAAATCCCACCAAGATCACCTGTGTGATAGGGGCTGGTGCCCCTTCCCTGAGCCTTGGTTTCCTCCCTACAGCCTATCAGTAACTCCCCTTTTCCACAGAAGCTTAACCGTCAGCTCAGACGTAACCATTGTGTAAAAGTGTCCCACTGTATACACAGCAGTGACACCGCTCCTTCCCCACCTCTCCCAGAGACAAACTGATCACAAAGAAAAGTCAGAACACTTTTAGTCAGCAGACTTCTTGACTAATTTTACCACAGTAAAATTGCCAAAGGGCAGAACAAAGCTTCAGAGACCTAAAAACCTCTGCAACTTCCTACTGCTGCCTCATGGTGACAGGATTAGTTTATTGCTTGTTTATCACTTTCCAAAAAGCAAAAATAAACTCTTGTTGGATTAAAGATAAGAAAATGCTCACAATGGCTGGGCGTGGTGGCTCACGCCTGTAATCCCAGCACTTTGGGAGGCCAAGGCCTGCAGATCACTTGAGGCCAGACAAGCCTGGCCAAAATGGCAAAACCCCACCTCTACTAAAAATGCAAAAATTAGCTGGGCATGGTGGCACATGCCTGTAGTCCCAGCTGCTGGGGAGACTGAGTCAAGAGAATCACTTGAACCCAGGAGGCAGAGGTTGTAATGAGCTGAGATCGCACCATCAGACTCCACCCTGGGCAACCTAGTGAGACTGTCTTAAAAACAAATTTTTTTTTTATTAAAAATAAATTTTAAAAAGGATAAGAAAATGCTTACAATCAATACACACCTGTGTTTGTTGGGGAGAGGATAAGGGGCTTTTGAAGGCTTTGGCCATTATTCGCTTGATCTCCACACCAGTGCTATTCTTAACACACATCGATTTATCCCACTGGATCGCGTGGTCAGGTTCTGTGGGGTTTAGCCAAGCCAGTTCATCCTCACAAATGTGGAGTGGAGGCGGTGGACGAATAAACTCTGGTCGAAAATGGCCTGTAATGAGAGCAGTGATAGTGGCTCCTATCAGGAAGCTAACATCTCTACACTTGTCACACATTTCACTTTAATAAAGTATGCAAAGTAATCTCTTAATAAAGATGATGTGACAAAACTCTCATACTTCAAAATCAGAAGCAGGAATGACACAGAAAGTCAGAATTTCAGTCAGAATGCAAACAAGACAATGAAAGAACACTGTATCAGCATGATGCCATTTTTGGAGCGGTGAGGAAAGCCTAGCCGTAACCTGCCCACACTGCACTTGAACATGAGCACTCAAAAGCAAAAGGGTATGACTACTAAACGGGCTCAGCCTTTTGATGAAAAAATGAAATACCGTGTGCTCACACATCCTATTCTTAGTTACCACTATTTGTTCAGCTGCCACTATGATTTGTACTGGTTTTATCTTGGCATCTTAATAACTGAAGTAACAAATTACATGGCGATAAAACAGCAGGAGGAAAAGTATGGTTGCCTTTTAAAATTTCAACATGAATCTGGAGACCATCATGAATCCCTAAATTCACAAATACCATATTCACGTTCATAAAACAATACAAGTACAAAAGGAAAATGAAGTGGCTCAACTCAACTATTTTATAAAACAAGATTCATTCCTTAGTTATAAACCCACTGAAGTAAATGCTGGCTAGGACTTCTGCTGAACCAATTTTACATCTCACAAGGTTTCCGCATAGGGCAGGAGTGGCTTATTCCTATCATGGATCCCAGCCCCTGCCAAATTTGAGAGTCTACTGTTGAGATCATAGAAAACATCTATTTTCTGGTTAAAAATCATCACTTTATCTTAAACATCTCCACTGTTTCTTCACTTACATATCACCAAGACTAGCACCTGAATCTCCCTTCAACCACTTACAAAAATAAAGTTTTTTTGTTTTGTTTTTTCTTATTTTTCTTATTTTTTTTTTTTAAAGACAGGGTTTCACCATGTTGGTCAGGCTGGTCTTGAACTCCCGACCTCAGGTGATCCGCCCGCCTTGGCTTCCAAAGTGCTTGGATTAAAGGCGTGAGCCACCGCACCGGGCCCAAAAATAAAGTTTTTAACACTTCATGAGAAACACTACTTATGTGATTAAGAGTGAGTTCCAGCGAGGTGGGGACACCTGGTGTTTGACTAAACCCACTTATGAGTGATCTGCTTTTCACATCTCTTCCTGGGGACCTATGCAATTTAGAGTTGTGCCCGAGCAAATATTAAATAGAAGCTATTACATGGCATGAACGTTTCAGTCACACCTGTGACTAGCAGAAACTTCAAATATTAAACCTATGTATGCCAAAGAGCTACTGTAAACCAAATGATACAAAAGTCACTATGTGAATTTCAAATTCATGGTGATACTATACTATAATCTGGTAAACATGTTCTTATCCCAAAGCGGAAAACTTCCCTTCATAATTCAAAGCACACAGAAGCCTATAAAATAGATACCAGGCAGAGTGCTACATGCCTGTAATTCCAACTATGTAGGAGTCTGAGGTGGAAGGATCCCCTAAGCCTCAGGGGTTTGAGTCCAGCCTGGGCATCATAGCAAGACTCCATCCCTTAAACAAAGAAATCCCCCAGAAATGCAGCAATATTATTTCAAATTCTACAAGCATTTTCTTTGAAATAATGTAAATTCGGAGCTACAAGAAAACTTTAAAATGGATAAAGCAATGATAGCAATAAGATTACTTAAGAGGTATAAAACAAAAAGATAATGAGCTGATACAAAAACAGACTCATTTCAGTAAAATCCACTATACCCAGCTAATTTTTGTATTTTTAGTAGAGATGGAGTTTCACCATATTGGCCAGGCTGGTCTCAAACTCCTGACCTCAAGTGATCCACCTGCTTTGGCCTCCCAAAATGCTGGGATTACAGGCATGAGCCACTGCGCCCCGCCTGTATCTTAAGGTATGCGTAGGATGGACATACAACAAACAACTTGGTGTGCACTTTTCTTAAAGAAGATACTAATTGCCACTGAACATCTCTACTATGTTCTAAACACTCACTACACTAGAAAGGTTCACACTAAATTACAATTTAAGTCATAACAAAAATAAGATAATGTCTTCAAAAAACTGAAAAGTCCTAGAGGATGCTGACAGACTAAAACCAATAGTATAAATGAACCTACTTTCGATAGGTGGCTTTGGTCCGCTGACTAAAGCTTCTGTGATCTGAGAGGCAACTGAGCTGTCAAATCCAGAATTAGAAGAATCTGGGTCTGGGTCACTGAGAATGCTGGGGAAGCTCGCTTTGCTTTGTGTTGGCAATTCTGACTGGCGCTCTGGAAAAGGTTAAATGGGTGACATTTTAAAATTATTGACACCATGAGGAGAGTGAAAAGACAAGCTACCAACTGAGACAAGCTATCTGTAACACAGAAAAACAAAGAGCCAGATTCACAGAGACAGAGAAAGTGTGGCTGTGTCTGTACGCACAGCAGGTCCTCACTTAACGTCATTGAAAGGTTCTTGGAAACTGCCAGTAAGTCAAACGACATATAACAAAACCATTTTTTTCATCAATGTTATAATAAAACACTATTAATGAAAGTGTTATTTGAGGACCTGCTATACATCACTTCACTTAAATCTGCAGTTTCCAAAAACCTATCAGTGATGTTAAGTGAGGACTTACTGTACATATATATATATATATATATATATATATATATTTTTTTTTTTTTTTTTTTTGAGATGGAGTTTCGCTCTTGTTACCCAGGCTGGAGTGCAATGGCACGATCTCGGCTCACCACAACCTCCGCCTCCTGGGTTCAAGCAATTCTCCTGCCTCAGCCTCCTGAGTAGCTGGGATTACAGGCACGTGCCACCATGCCCAGCTAATTTTTTGTATTTTTTTTAGTAGAGACGGGGTTTCACCATGTTGACCAGGATGGTCTCGATCTCTCGACCTCGTGATCCACCCGCCTCGGCCTCCCAAAGTGCTGGGATTACAGGCTTGAGCCACCGCGCCCGGCTTGTACATATATTTTTAAATCAATTAAAAAAAATACAGAACCCAACATGAAAATATGGACTAATAACTTTAATAAGGATTTTATTTAAAAATCTTAAATGGCCAAAAAAATCTGAAAAGATGTTTAATCCCATTAGGAACTAGGGAAAATTCAGTTAAAACACAAGATACTATAACAGACCCACCAGACTGGCAAAAATGTATAAAGTTGACATTATCAAATGCAGAAGAGGATGTAAGGTAACTTATACACTGCTATAGGAACGAAAAATGGCACAGCAAGTTTGACAAACAATTTGATGTTTCCTTATCTAGTTTTATACGTGCATTTCTTTCCATTTAGGAGACATACTTTCACACGTGCCCCAGAATCATGTGCAAGAATGTTCACAGCAGTATTATGTCCATCAATGGCAGAATGGGTACAGAACTTGGTACTCCACAGTGTGAGGGTACCACAGCAGCAATGAAGGGCAGCCACTGCAGTTACATGCTGTCAGCATGGACTCATCTTTCAAATAACCCCCAACAGAAGGAAAGCACAAAAGAATAAATGCAGCACAATTCCACATAAAGCTCAAGGGCATGCAAAGTGAAACTACAGGCAGGCACAGGAGGGAAGCAATTAGGATCATTATCACAAAAATCAGGTTAGTGATGAGGCAGCTATTGGGAGAAACACATAGGGAGCCTCTAGGCCATTAAAATATTCTTTTTCTTAACTTGGATGGCAGGTTGCTCCAGGTTCGCTTAATTAAAGTGAATGCATGTTTTATTTCAGATTGTGTAATTTTAAAAACACAGGGGACTAAATTCCTGATTAAAGAACTATACAAATCAATAAAAGACCATCAATCCATGGAAAAATGGCCAACAACATATGAAAAGATGCCTTAGACACACAGCATCTTTTCTCATTCACTTATTAACAGAAATGCTCACTAAAATTATCCTATAATGCCATTTTTTAATATCTCAGATTGCTGAAGTACAAAAAGTTAGATAATAGACAATCAACCAAAATGTAGAAAAAAAGAGTTAAATTGGCCAGTAGCATGGTAAACTAGTAAGTGGTACGTGTTTGTCAGGAATAAATCATAAAGGAAAACCAAACCTCTGAAATGAGGAAAGCAAAACCTCTGAAACACTGTCACTGCTAAGGTAAAACTCCACCCCTTGTCATCTATGTTTAACTTGTCTGCTTGTTTTTTTAAAGTTAAGAAAACACCAACTGCATCATCCAAAAATACACCTTTGGTCCACAGATGCCACTGTAAGACATTTGAATTTTAGGCCTCCAGAGAGATCTCGGTGGCTAGCTCTAGTGCACAAAGGCGTGCTTGCTTTTTCTTCACACTTGTGAACAGGAATGGATTCGGACATCCGCAATCTGGGTAGAGGACGGCAAGCAGCAAGCTTAGCCATTCAGCCACGCTTCTCAGCCCTTACTCTAGGCATGTGATCCTTCCTGCATGTTAATATACTTCACAACTTTCTCGCAGCTGATCAAGGCATACCAAGTTGAAAGGAAGGTCAGCTGTGATTCTCACTTCATTATTATAAATAAATACTATTTAAATACTATAAATAAATATTATACATACTAAGCTAGAACCATCAGAATACATCACTTCTGTATCCAGTTTTTAAAGTATCTTTGGTGTTTGTCAGGAATAAATAAAAGTAATCATTTTATTTCTATTAAATTATATCTGGCACTCCTGGACAATAAGTACTTTTGTTCTTATTAGTACAACCTTAAAAGTCTTAAAAAGATTTCTTTTAGTTTCAGAACATAACCATTGTTACATTGCTCTTGTTCTGCTTTTGCGACAGGGTCTTACTCTATGGCCCAGGCTAGAGTGCAGTGGTGCAATCACGGCTCATTGTGGCCTTGACCTCCCAAGATCAAGTGATCTGCTTACGTCAGCCTCCTGGGTAGCTGGGACCACACCTGCTCACACCAAACTAATTTTTTTAAGCTACTTTTGTAGAGACAGGGTCTCCCCATGTTGCCCAGGCTGGCTTTAAATTCGGGGCTCAAGTGATTCTCATGCCTCAGACTCCCAGACTGCTGGGATTATAGGAATGCGCCATGGTGCCTGGCCCCATGGTTATATTGTTAATACACAATACTTTAAAGGTTCACAATGTTCCAAAGGAAAAGCTGTGGGGTTTGTTTTGTTTTTTAGGAAAAGCTGTTCATTGTACCATGTCAACTTATAGCTAAGCCAAATGTCACAGGTATATGACATCTAAGAAGGATGGGGCACTGTCTAAATTAATACTTGAGCTTACTTAAATACAAAGTCAAGGGTTCACAAACCCAGCTACATATTAGTTTCCCTACTGAGTTGCTCTCAAGTGAGAAGATGAATGCTTACAGCAGACAAGCCCAAAGTGCCTCCCCTACTCCTTCAGAACTCAGAGTCTCTATGACCACCAGCTCTCCTTCTATTACTTTCTGTCAGGACACACTCTTTACTTCAAGAGCACTCATTAATTTGCTCACATCTTTAACACAGAATGTGCCAGAACAATCTTGAACAAGAAGAAAGTTGAAAGTTTCACACCTCCCAATTTCAAAACTTGGTACAAAACTACAGTAATTAAAAGAGTGTGGTACTAGCAGAAAGACAGACACAGACGAATGGAATAGAAAGCCCAGAAATAAACCCTTGCATATATGGGCAAATGATTTTCAACAAGGATGCCAAGAGAACATTGTTTTGGCTATTCAGGGTCCCCTGAGACAGGTCTCAAGCTACCGTGCAGGCTGAAGTGCAGTGGCGCAATCTCGGCTCGAAATGGAGTTTCACCGTAGCCCAGGCTGAAGTACAGTGGTATATTCTCGGGTCACTGCGACCTTTGCCTCCCAGGTTCAAGGGATTCTCCTACCTCAGCATTCTGAGTAGCTGGGATTACAGGTAGGCACCACCCATGCCCAGCTAATTTTTTAATTTTTAGTAGAGACAGGGTTTCACCATGCTGGCCAGGCTAGTCTCGAACTCCTGATCTCAAACGATCTCCCTGCCTCAGCCTCCCAAAGTTCTGGGCGTACAGGTGTGAGGCACAGTGCTCAGCCAAGACTTCCATTTAAGATCCAGTATTAAAACTACTTTTTGAAATGGATGATACTAACCTTTTAGCAGTTATAAAAACCATCATTTTAAGTAGAGTCTTCAACAAGAGAGGCCTAAATATTATCACACAGGAATGCCCAAACCACTGATTCCTCCTTACCGGCCAAGGCTAACTGAAGCCCACTAATGTCCACAGACTGGCCCATGTTTCCAACATCCATCAGTGCAATCTGGCGAGGTGTCTTTTTGAAGAGTTCCCGTGGGGGTGCCAGCATCAGCTGGGAAAGAAAAAACTTTTCTGGTGGAGTTATAGGAGGTAAAAATCCTGCAAACAAAAATGTATAACAATTTCTCCAATGGTTACTTTTAAAAATCAACTTGAATCTGGTCAAATCAGTACTTGCTACTTGCCACTTTAAGCCACATATTTTTAAGAGCTAAATAATAATTAGGTTTCAGTTAACCAAATATATACATTTATGAACTATGTAATTAAATATGTCATTTGAAATTCTATGATCTGTGTCCCTACCAATGAAACTTAAAGGGTTTTTTGTTTTGGTTTTGTGTGTTTTTGCTGTTGTTTGTTTTTTGAGACAGTCTCCTTCTGTCACCCAGGCTAGAGTGCAGTGGCACAATCTTGGCTCACTCGGGTTCAAGCTATTCTCCTGCTTCAGCCTCCCAGGTAGCTGGAACTACAGGTGCACACCACCATGCCCGGCTCATTTTTTGTGTTTTTAGTAGAGACGGGGTTTCACCATGTTAGCCAGGATGGTCTCGATCTCCTGACCTCATGATCCACCCGCCCCAGCCTCCTAAAGTGCTGGGATTACAGGCATGAGCTGTTGCACCTGGCCAAAACTTAAGGTTTTTGTACCTGTTAATTTTAAGAGTTAAAGAAAGAGAGGCAGGGCGTGGTGGCTCATGCTTGTAATCCAAGCACTTTGGAGGCCAAGGCAGGCGGATCACCTGAGATCAGGAGTTCAAGACGAGCCTGACCAACATGGTGAAACACCATCTTTAAAAATATATATATTTTAAAAATTTTAAAAAAAAAAGTTGCCGGGCGCGGTGGCTCAAGCCTGTAATCCCAGCACTTTGGGAGGCCGAGGCGGGTGGATCACGAGGTCAAGAGATCGAGACCATCCTGGTCAACATGGTGAAACCCCGTCTCTACTAAAAATACAAAAAATTAGCTGGGCGTGGTGGCGCGTGCCTGTAATCCCAGCTACTCAGGAGGCTGAGGCAGGAGAATTGCCTGAACCCAGGAGGCAGAGGTTGCAGTGAGCCGAGTTCACGCCATTGCACTCCAGCCTGGGTAAGAAGAGTGAAACTCCGTTTCAAAAAAAAAAAAAAAAAAAAAAAAAGTTAAAGAGAAAAGAAACATAAAATGCAGCTTCGCAGACAAAGATAGGTTTTCTTTAGTTAAAACCTGAGAGGGGCTTTTGGCTGATGTTTTAATTAAAGAAAACCTGTCTCTGTTTTGTGTTTCTTTCCTTTAATTCTTACATTAATAACTTCATTTTCTAAAGTGCCTCAATTCCTGTAAAGCAGGCATCCCCAAACTGCGGCCCCAAGGCCATTTATCCGGCCCCCCCGCCGCACTTCAGGAAGGGGCACCTCTTTCACTGGTGGTCAGTGAGAGGAGCACAGTATGTGACGGCCCTCCAACGGTCTGAGGGACAGTGAACTGACCCCCTGTGTAAAAAGTTTTGGGATGCCTGCTGTAAAGGTTAAAGCTTATATACCCAAGCAAAAATTTCCAACACTACAGTGCTTGGAAATGCTTTCGTTTCTTGTTTCCACTGTGTAGAAGTTGAATAAATAGAAGAGCAACCAGCAGCAATGCAAATACACTTCACATACCTGATTCAACACGCAGTGCAGCTACAAATTCCCGCAAAGCTGGATGTTCCTTCCCTTTAGTGCCATATTCAATTGCTCATCAAGCCTCATCCCTCCCACTGCGGCAGTGTCACCAGGCTGCATTCCCTCAGCTCCAGTCCTCACACCTCTCTTGCCTGGTCTACTTTTGCCCCCTCTACTGACTTCCCCAGCTCCCAGTTGTGACCCCTGCCCACCCACCACCCATAGTCCACATTACCTCTCACGATTTAGTTATATCTGTAGAGTACAAATCTGATCACATTACTTAACCTGTTCACACAGAATTAAACCCAAATTTCTATAGTATTACACGATCCTTCATAATCTGGTCCCAATGCACCTTCCTAATCTCACTTCTTGACCTTCTCTCCCATCCACATACCCTACACCCCAGTTGCACAAAATCCCTCAACTTCTACATTCAGTTTTTTTGTGTTTGTTTGTTTTGTTGTTTTTGAGGCGGAGTCTCACTCTGTTCCCCAGGCTGAAGTGCAGTGGTGAGATCTCAGCTCACTGCAGCCTCCGACTTCCAAGTTCAAGCAATTCTCCTGCCTCAGACTTCTGAGTAGCTGGGATTACCAGAGTACACTATCACACCGGGCTAAATTTTGTATTTTTGATAGAGACAGAGTTTCGTCATCACTTGAGACCAAGCTGGTCTCAAGTGATTTGCCCGCCTCGGCCTCCCGAAGCGCAAGTGCGGGGATGACAGGCGTGAGCCACCGCACCGGACTTACACCCAATTCTTTAGTAATACGTGGCAGAGCCACTCTTGCCCTCCCACCCACATCCCTAATCAATATCCAGCAAAAATATCACTCCTTTTGAGAATTTATCTGGCTCCACTGGTGGTCATTCCTTCCTCTGTACTACCCAGCATTACACAATCGCAGCCCTGCCTCTGTTCAGAATCATCAGATAAGCATTCTGAAGACATACCCACTAAATGTCTTACCCTAAACATACAACAGCAGCAGCTCTGGGAGTGGGGTGTTGACACTGATATTTTCTCTTCTGTGTTATCTACACACCATCCCTATCTACTTTAATAATGGCAATGATAACAGTAACACTCACAGGTAATTGTATTCTTTGTAATAACTCTACCAGCTGAGAATTGTTACTATTTGCATTCTACAGATGAGAAATCTGAGGCACAAAAGAGTTAAATATAGTCCATCCATGGATTCCTTCTCTGGCAACTGCCATCCCACCCATGGCAAATCTGTATCTACAATGCAATCTATGGACTAGGTATGGGTTTAGATTCACTGTATATGAGAATGGCATTATGTATGTCAGGGTTCGTTTGCCTCACCTGTTCTTCAGAATTCAAAGGACCCTCTGACCTAAATCCCACAGTGTCCCAATCCTCTAATACAGGCACCCCAGGGTGGTGGTTGTCTCTGTGTGCACGTTTGGAAGCAGGGTCTTGCTGTCACCCAGTGGTATGATCATAACTCACTGCAGTCTTAAACTACTAGGCTCAAGTGCTCCTCCTGCTTCAACCTCCTGAGCAGCTGAGACTACAGGTGTGAGCCACCCCATGCCCAGCACATTTTTTTTTTTTAGTTTTTTGTAAAGACATGATCTTGCTATGTTGCCCAAGATGGTTTCAAACTCCTGGCCTCAAGCAATTCCCACCCTCGTCCCTCACCACCTCGGCCTCCAAAAGTGCTGGGATTATAGGCGCGAGCCACCTCGCCAGGCCTGGGTGGTGAGTTTTGACCACAAACTGTGTCACATTCACTTTCTGGGCAGTCACAAGCTTCTTTTTTTTTTGAGACGGAGTTTCGCTCGTTACCCAGGCTGGAGTGCAATGGCGCAGGCTCACCGAAACCTCCACCTCCTGGGTTCAAGCAATTCTCCTGCCTCAGCCTCCCGAGTAGCTGGGACTATAGGCGTGCGCCACCATGCCTAGCTAATTGTTTTTTGTATTTTTAGTAGAGACGGGGTTTCACCATGTTGACCAGAATGGTCTCAATCTCTTGATCTCGTGATCCACCCGCCTCGGCCTCCTAAAGTGCTGGGATTACAGGCGTGAGCCACCGCGCCCGGCCCACAAGCTACTTAAAAGCAGGTTAAGTACCTGTACCCTAAGGGCATCTCAGGCCAATACAAAGGGTTGCCCTTCTTAGATATGGGCACTACTGGACACCAGTCAGAAGATTGTGATGTGGTGCCAGGCAGGAACACTAACTAGAAATGCAGAAGCCTTCTGTACCATAAAAACAAACTCCTGGTATTACCTCAAAATCTGCTGCCTTAACCTTGACTCGCTGAATAGCAGGCCCTACCTAATACTGGTTACAGAATGTAAGATAAAGCTGTTTCCTAATCTCTATCTGCTTCCTCCACTACACTGGTCCCTAAATCCTTCAGGTCCCCTTGTCACCAAGCCATTTTTCTTGTTTTCTGACTGCAAGTCTTCTTCCAAAGCAAATCCACATAAAGGATCCCCTGGCTTGAGCTTAACAACAACAAAATGCAGCCTTGTAGCTAACCTACTAGTTTGGTCTCACCAACGCCACACAATGGTTACATTTTATGTAATGTACACCATGTATGCACTTTACATAATGTCCAGTAAATCATGTGTTTTTTAACCGCAAGACCATCAATTTGAGGCTGTCTATCCTCTGCCTCCATCACTAACAGGCTAAGGACGGCGGCTGCTAAGTCTTTTATGGGGTTTCATGTACATTTCCGCCCAAGAAATTCTTCAGCTTCTTAATACTGACTTCTACGTTTTCCTTTGAGACTGAAAACCGGGGACAGATCCAGTCTATCATTGGTTTTAACTTCACACACCACAGATGGGCTTTCAAGAACGAACCGTATTTGGGACACTAAACATGTCACATCATACACTGAGCTGTATGATGTGATGGCAGTACAAAGAAATCATTTTCGGTGTCACGAACTTGCAATTAAGCTACCACCTCCCCATTCTTTAGAGTTAAGGCCGGTGTGGCCGGAGGGAACGAAGAGCGTGGGGACGCAAAGGGAGACGGAAAAAGGGGATGCTCATTTCACAGGGAAAGTTAATTTCCCTTGCAGGTGAGTTCCCAGCAACGCAGGTGGAAAGCTGCGGAATCTAATGCTATCCACGCCGCACAGCTGGCTTCAGGAGGTACCTGAGAGCGGAGGGCGGTCCGGCTCCTGGCCGCCGCGGGCTGGCGGCGCGGGGTTGAGAAGGTGCGCGAAGCTGGCGGCGAAGGGGTTGGCGGCCAGCGGCTCGGTGCGGTACATCTCCCAGAGCAGGTAGAGCGCCGTGAGGCGCTGCGCCGCGCTGGGCAGCAGGTCGGGCTGCTGGAGCAGCATGACGAGCACCGAGCCCAGGCGGAAGTGGTCGGCCTTGCTGAAGTAGTGGTGGAAGGCGGTGGACAGGCCCTCGAAGGTGCTGCCGCCGCCCGCCTCCTCCGAGATGATGCTCAGCAGGCTCGAGAGCTCCTTCGGGGTCAAGCTCATCCTGCCCGCGGCGCCTCCAGGGCTTCCCCTCCCGGACCCGGGGCCGCTTGCTCCGCCTCTGCCGCCGCTGGAGCCCCCGAAGCCGCTCCTGGACGCCGACCCTGCCGCTTCCTGGGACCCTCTCTGCTCCGCGGCGATGAGAAGCCGGCCAGACGCCGTGCTTGCCCCTCCGCCGGGCATCAACCTTGCTCTCCTTCCCCGCTTCCCGGCCCGAGGGGCCCTGGCGCCGGCTGGCTCCGTCCCCGCGGCCGTAAAGCGCGCTGCTACACGACAGCGTCGCAAACAAAACACGTCGGGGAAACCAGACCGCCGCTGAGAGGGCCAGCGCCCTGCTAAAGCGAGGCTGATGGAGCGTGGCCAGGGACAGCGTGCGGAGACGCGGAGTAGGCGGGGCGAATTGGCCGGAAGCGGGGGCGGGGAGCGGGGGCGGGGAGCGGGGGCGGGGAGCGGGGGCGGGGGCGGGGCCTTGGTGTGGAGTGGAGGGGCGGGGCGAGGTCGGGCGGCCAGCGTTCAGGGCTGGCCTGGCTGAGGTTCCGCGGAGGGACTGCCGGAGGCCCGCGCGCTTCTGCGCAGCTGCGAGGGGAAGCCGCCCCTTGGCGGTCCCCAGGGCGGGACCTGATGCCACACGGTCCCAGTAAATGCTGTCTACGTTATTATTTGGAAAAATGCACCTAAGATGCTAATATTTTATTAATATAATATCCGTAACTATTCGTCGTAAAAATATTGTCAATCAGGTCCAGCACGGTGGCGCGTGCCTGTAATCCCAGCACTCTTCAGAGTCCGAGGCGGGAGGGTTGGTTGAGCCCCGGAGAGGCCGAGGCTGCGGAGAGCTGTGATCACCACTACACTCCAGCTCGGGCGACAGGCGAGACTCTGTCTCAAACAATTTTTTTAAAATATAGTAAATGTCACACATTTCTCATAACCATGGTTAATTTCTAGTCTTACACTCTTTTTTTTTTTTTTTGCAGAAATGGAATCATACTGCATTATGAGCTTTTTTGTACTTGGTTTTTTCTCTTAACACGATTTCGAGAACATGTCTACAATCAATATTCATTTACAAAATCGTTTTCTGTGCCACGTCTTACTTAGACTGTCCTAGGGCGCTTATCCTGGGCACTAGCTGTGCATTAGAAACCCACGGGGAGAGGTTACAAATTCCTGGTCCCACCCCCAGAGATGATAATTCAGGTATTAATAAACCTCACCTCTTCAGGTGAGTCTGATGTGCAGTCTGGGCTGAGAACCATCAGGTGGCATTTCCCAGACATGCCCGGTTCCTAAACTAACAGAAATGTACATGTATTTCGCCGGTGATTACCACCATCGATTCCAGTCCGCGCTGAACCATGTCAGCGCTCAAGAATTATCTAGTTAAGTGCTACCTCACTTCTTTTTTAAAAGGTATTTGTATTTTATTTATTTTGGGGGAGAAATATATATTTTTAAATTTTTTTTCATCTTTTTAAAAATTATAATTCAATGGTTTGGGGGGTACAGGTGGTTTTTGTTTACATGGGTAAGTTTTTTGTTTGTTTTTTTGGTTTCTTTTTTTTAATTAAGAAGATAAACGATAGGGCCGGGCGCGGTGGCTCAAGCCTGTAATCCTAGCACTTTGGGAGGCCGAGGTGGGTGGATCACGAGGTCGAGAGATCGAGACCATCCTGGTCAACATGGTGAAACCCCGTCTCTACTAAAAATACAAAACATTAGCTGGGCATGGTGGCGCACGCCTGTAATCCCAGCTACTCAGGAGGCTGAGACAGGAGAATTGCCTGAACCCAGGAGGCGGAGGTTGCGGTGACCCGAGATCGCGCCATTGCACTCCAGCCTGGGTAACAAGAGCAAAAACTCCGTCTCAAAAAAAAAAAGAAGATAAAGGATAAATCAATGACTACTCCATAGGCAGAGCAGCCCACAGGGATAAGTTCTTAGTGGTAACTTCTGAGATTTTGATGCGCCCGTTACTAGAGCGCTGTACTTTGTACCCAATATGTAGTCTTTTATCCCTCCCCCGCGCTCCCCCCGCCATGTTTCCACCGCTCCTGCCCCTGTGTCCTCAAAGTCCATTATAACATTCTTTTTTTTTTTTTTTTTTTTTTTTTTTTTTTTTTTTTTTTTTTTTTTTGAGACGGAGTTTCGCTCTTGTTACCCAGGCTGGAGTGCAATGGCACGATCTCGGCTCACTGCAACCTCCGCCTCCTGGGTTCAGGCAATTCTCCTGCCTCAGCCTCCTGAGTAGCTGGGATTATAGGCACGCGCCACCATGCCCAGCTAATTTTTTGTATTTTTAGTAGAGACGGGGTTTCACCATGTTGACCAGGTTGGTCTCGATCTCTCGACCTTGTGATCCACCCGCCTCGGCCTCCCAAAGTGCTGGGATTACAGGCTTGAGCCACCGCGCCCAGCCCCATTATAACATTCTTATGTCTTTGTATCCTCATAACTTAGCTCCCACTTAAAAGTGAGAAGTGTAATATTTGGTTTGCCACCTGAATTGTTAAGAAAAATTTAAAAAAGAGAAATTGCGGCCGGGCGCGGTGGCTCAAGCCTGTAATCCCAGCACTTTGGGAGGCCGAGGCGGGTGGATCACTAGGTCAAGAGATCGAGACCATCCCCGTCAACATAGTGAAACCCCGTCTCTACTAAAAATACAAAAAATTAGCTGGGCATGGTGGCGCGTGCCTGTAATCCCAGCTACTCAGGAGGCTGAGGCAGGAGAATTGCCTGAGCCCAGGAGGCGGAGGTTGCGGTGAGCCGAGATCGCGCCATTGCACTCCAGACTGGGTAACCAGAGCGAAACTCTGTCTCAAAAAAAAAAAAAAAAAAAAAAAAAAGAGAAATTGCCCGGTCAACAGATGTGATGTCTACTGAATTTTAAAGGCCTCTATGGCTAGGCGCAGTGGCTCACGCCTGTAATCCCGGCACTTTTGGAGGCGGAAGTGAGAGTGTCATGAGGTCAAGAAATCAAGACCATCCTAGCCAACAGAGTGAAACCCCTAAATATACAAAAATTAGCCAGGTGTAGTGGCGTGCAGCTGTAGTCTGAGCTACTCGGGAGGCTGAGGCAAGAGAATCTCTTGAACCGGGGAGGTAAAGGTTGCAGTGAGCCGAGATCGCACCACTGCACTCCAGACTGGTGATAGAGCAAGACTCCGTCTCAAAAATTATAATAATAATAATAATAATAATTAAAATAAAGACTTCTTCAATTTACTGCTAAATTGCACTTTTAGAAAGATCCTGCCAATTATTCGGCCGGGCGCGGTGGCTCAAGCCTGTAATCCCAGCACTTTGGGAGGCCGAGGCGGGTGGATCATGAGGTCGAGAGATCGAGACCATCCTGGTCAACATGGTGAAACCCCGTCTCTACTAAAAATACAAAAAATTAGCTGGGCATGGTGGCATATGCCTGTAATCCCAGCTACTCAGGAGGCTGAGGCAGGGGAATTGCCTGAGCCCAGGAGGCAGAGGTTGCGGTGAGCCGAGATCGTGCCATTGCACTCCAGCCTGGGTAACAAGAGCGAAACTCCGTCTCAAAAAAAAAAAAAAAAAAAAATTAGCTGGGCATGGTGGCGCGTGCCTGTAATCCCAGCTTCTCAGGAGGCTGAGGCAGGAGAATTGCCTGAGCCCAGAAGGCGGAGGTTGCGGTGAGCCGAGATCGCGCCATTGCACTCCAGCCTGGGTAACAAGAGCGAAACTCCGTCTCAAAAAGAAAAAAAAAAAAACAAAAAAAAAAAACAAAAAACATCCCATAGCAATTGTTTCTCAAATGGATCACATTTGAGTGTTTAGACCGAGTGTATTGAGCAATTTAATTTTGTTCCATTTAGACCAAGTGTATAGAACAATTTAATTTTGTTATTATAACTATATTATACTCTAATACAATAGAAACAGCAAGAGCAGGCTGGGCATAGTGCAGGCGTCCCCAAACTTTTTACACAGGGGGCCAGTTCACTGTCCCTCAGACCGTTGGAGGGCCGCCACATACTGTGCTCCTCTCACTGACCACCAATGAAAGAGGTGCCCCTTCCTGAAGTGCGGTGGGGGACGGGATAAATGGCCTCAGGGGGCTGCATGCGGCCCGTGGGCCATAGTTTGGGGACACCTGGCATAGTGGCTCACACCTATGATCCCAGTGCTTGGGAGGCCAAGGTGGGAGGATGGTTCCAGGCCAAGTATTTGAAATCAGCCTGGGCAACATAAGGAGACCCTCTTTCTACAAGAAATAATTAGCTGGGCATGGTGGTGCGCATCTGTGGTTCCAGCTACTCAGGAAGCTGAAGCAGGAGGAGCTCTTGAGTCCAGGAGGTTGAGGCTGCAGTGAGCCCTAATGTGCACCTCTGCACTCCAGCCTAGGCTAGAGAAGAAGACCCTAGCTGAAAAAAAAAAAAAAAAGCAAGAGTCAATAAGGCATAGAGAAGTATTTGCCCTATACAAAGTGACCTCTGATTGCTATCAGTTTTTGTTTGTTTGTTTGTTTTTGAGATGGAGTCTCCCTCTGTCACCCAGGCTGGAGTGCAGTAGCTCAATCTTGGCTCACTGCTACCTCCACCTCCCAGGTTCAAGCCATTATTGTGCCTCAGCCTCCCCAGTAGCTGGGATTACAGGCATTTGCCACTACACCTGGCTAATTTTTATATTGTTAGTAGAGACGGGGTTTCACCTTGTTGGCTAGGCTTGTTTCGAATTCCTGACCTCAAGAGATCTGTTCACCTCAGCCTCCCAAAGTGCTGGGATTACAAGCGTGAGCCACCATGGCCGGCCAATTAAATATTAAAAGCTAAAAAAGCTAGTGCCCTTATACAAAGGTTGCAATGAAACAAAATGAAACAAAAGCCCACCAAAAGTTTTGCCTAGGTCTTTCCTGAGTCTTAAAGCATGAGAAAATACAGAGGAATCTTTTTTTTTTTTTTTTTTTTGAGATGGAGTTACACTCTTGTTACCCAGGCTGGAGTGCAATGGCTCGATCTCGGCTCACTGCAACCTCCGCCTCCTGGGTTCAGGCAATTCTCCTGCCTCAGCCTCCTGAGTAGCTGGAATTACAGACACGCGCCACCATGCCCAGCTAATTTTTTGTATTTTTAGTAGAGACGGGATTTCACCATGTTGACCGGGATGATCTCGGTCTGTTGACCTTGTGATCCACCCGTCTGGGCCTCCCAAAGTGCTGGGATTACAGGCGTGAGCCACCGCACCCGGCCTCAGAGGAATTCTTAACAGGACCCATTTAGGATTAAATGAGTTTTATTGGGTGTCTGAAGAAACTCCCTGAGTTCTCCACAAACAAGTGTATTGGGGGTCTGAAGGAGCTCCCCAAACCTCCATGATTTAGCAGGAGACAAGA